AATTTACTGCTGAAAGCCAAAAATCTTAGACGCTCTTTGTATTTTTTTATAAAAATAATTTTTACAGAGCAGATCACTGAAGAGACGCCATCTGTTTATAGTTTATAGCCCAGATTTGTGGAAAAATGGGTCGACTTTCACTAGACAAAAAATTGAGTTCAGCTTCTTTTATTACAAGGGTTTAAAATTACATCACCCATCTGTTTGGAGAGAAGACAGTTACAGCTCTCATACCACACCCAGCTTTAGAATGTAGCTTATGAAATATGAAAGTTATGAAGAATATGACAAAGTGCGTTTTGGGACCACCGGTGGTCCCAAGGAGTTGAAAAGGTTCATTTTCCCGATTAAAGCTTAAGACAACTGTATATAGGATATAATTAAAATTGCAGCTCTTGCCATTTGAAAACTGCACTCTTTCAAATTATGATTTTGATCTAAAAACTATTAATTGTTCAGCCTTAGTCAGCGGTGCTCCTGTGGTGGTCCTGTGGTGGACGGGTTAGAAGGGGGCTGATAAATTGTACAGCAAAAGATGGTTTACAGTCTGTAATTACAAACTTAAAGATGTGGGCTTAGCAAACGAAGATGAAATCTAATGTCAGTGTTGCTCGGATCAAGAACACAACAGTGGGGAGCTGCTACAGCAAACACTAACAAAAACAAACAAACAAACAAACAAATAAATAAATGAAATGATGAGCCTTGTCGGACTCTTCTTGCGTGTTCCCCAACTAATTCAGCTAGCAGGTCAGCATGAACCATTTAATGTGCTTGCTCTGACCCGTGGCTACGTGCCGTCTGCTTCATTTCTCTTTCTCCATTCATTCTCACACGCTTCAGAGGCTCCATCAGCTTAACTGGAGTCACTGGAGAAGTTAATTGATATTGCTGGCACTGTCCGCTCGCTTGGGGCTCCACTGGGTCCCATTATGTTCCAGTCACTCTCACAGCCTTACCTTCACCAGCTGGGACAATTCAATTAGCCGGGGTGCAAAGAGGCTGAATAATGGATGAAGCTGCAGGTTTTTTTCACTCTCTATCACACTTCTGCTTTCTCCATGTTTGTGTTAGTGCTCTGACACTACCTGTGTACCAACCAAGACTTGTTTTTGTTTTGTTTTTTTTGTTTTTTTTGCCCCACCCCCCCACACCATGGGCTAATTCTGACGTTCTCCTCCACACAAGTTTTATTTGTTACAGTTGAAAGAAGTAGCACTACCAACACTCGCTAAAATGGTGTGCGTGCGCTGCCGTGACTCGGGCCTGAAATTCTAATTTAAAAGTCAGAGGCATCAGATGGTTTTTCAGACCACGTCTTTACGTATTAACCTCACACGCATAGAGCCAAAAAGAAGGTCTGGCTCCATGTTTAGGTCTCAGTTACAAAGTCAACATTGTACTGATGAAGATATGGTGACGGTGGTAGATCATGAAGTGTTTCGAGCAGTTGATAATGAAACACTTAAACAGTCTTCCTTCCACGCTGGATCCATTTCTGTTCGCATATTACCCTAACTGGTCTACAGAGGACGCCGTATCCTCTGCCGTTCACCTCTCACCAACCCACCTGGACAGCAAAGGCAATTATGTAAGAATGTTGTTCATAGACTTCGGCCCAGTCCCATTTCTTCTTTTTACCCCTACCCTTGTTTTCGAGTGTCACCCTAAACCCTTGGAACAGAGTTACAAGGGGTAGTGGTTGAAATCTTGCCCTGTGAAATGGGACCCTGAAATAAAAAATGAAAAAAAAAAAAAAAACATTATTTCATTAACAGCTACTAGCGCTGCTCTGTAGGCGACCCGGCCCATCTTCAGTGATAGCAGAGGAGGGTGAAGTTCAGCTCCTCACTGCTGGGCTTTAGTTACATTTAGGGAATCATAAGCTTTCAAAGAAGGGGGACAATTATTTATTATCACCCACCGCCAATTCATTAGTGATAAGAAGCTGAGGTCAGATATTCACCAGGTTCTTGTTCGAATTTTCCTGTTCCACCTTAAATGGTGCAGCAGTTACATTCTGGCACTTCAGGCTTCAGAACTGCTGGATTATTTAAGGTGGAATGGGAAATTTAGCTAGCTAGCTACCGAGACATTAGCATGCTATTAGCGATTTTTTTATGCTTGTTATGAAGAAATGGACCATAATACATTGAAACGATACTACAATACTACGAAGATACTACAATGGTTATCGTAATTTTTTAATGGTGAAAATTCTCACATTCGTGTGTTTCTTTGGTCTCTTGTTCAGCCATCTTGCCGTTCTCTCTTTTTTTTTCTCGTATCACTCTGTTTGGAGTCTCTGAAAAACCTCCGTTTGTAGTCCCATGTAGCCCTAACACTTCACCCTACCCCTCTATCTCAACAAAAATTGGGACACCCTGCCCCTAGACGTGATCAGTGTGGTGGTGCTCAGTCTGTCAGAATTGCCAAGACCACCTCCAGTACCACCCCCTGAACACCAGTGCTCCCCAGGGCTGTGTGCTCTGTCCCCTGATATTCACACTGCTGACTCATGATTGTCCGGCAAAGCGTAGCTCAAATCATCCTCATGTTTACTGCAGTGGTGGGTCTTATCAGCAGCAGTGAGGAGTCAGCATACAGGGAGGAGGTGGAGCGGATGCAGACTGGTGCCGAGACAGCGATCTGTCTCCTAATGTTGAAAGGACAAAAGAGATGATTGTAGACTTCAGGAAGAACTGCAGTGATCACTCTCCACTGCACATCAGTGGTTCAACTGTGGAGAGAGTCAAAAGCTCTGAGTTCCTTGGTGTGCACGTCACCGATGACCTCATCTGGACCTTCAGGAATTGCTCTCGGACCTCAGGACCCTACAGTGGATTGTAAGGACAGCTGAGAAGATCATTCAGGTCAACGATCAACACCTCCTACCGCAAGCGCTGCATCCGCAAGGTGGTCAGCATTGTGGACGACCCTTCCCACCCCTCTAATAGATTCTTTGCCCTCCTACCATCTGGTAGAAGGTACCCAAACATCCTATCCACAACCACCAGACTCCACAACAGCTTCTTCCCCAAGGCTGTAAGACTACTGAACGCAGTGATCCCCCCCCGCCCCCCAGCGTCCACCTGGACTAATCTACATCCTTTCCAACATCCGCCATAGACTGAACACGCACCACCATACGTCTGCACTTTAAATTTGTGAATCGTTTAAAAGTTGCCTAGACCTCACTCTTTCAACGAGCTTGCAACCATCAGATTCATCTGCTTGGAGGAGGAGTCCGAAGCACAACCCGCGTTACAAAATGTTGCGTGCAGTTACACATTTCCACCAGAGAGGTCTCCAAATCTCCAAAACTTACATAGTGCAGCTTTATAGAATTACATTCTGTAAAACAAGAGATGTCCAACATAACAGAAACACAACATGAACGCTCACTCTCATTGGCCATTTTATCAGAAACACCTTATAGGTACACTTTATAAGTTTAAATTTACATCTGTTGCTGCACATTTAATCACGCCTTGACTCTGTCCAGCAGTGGAAAAGGACCACCATAGGACCACCACTGACCAGGTATTATCTTATATGCTCAGCACTGCCGTGAGACTGACATTGTAGTGTATGTGTGCACTTGTATGTGCACACACCTGGCTTTTAAATGGTAGCGAGTTTCTGACCACAGGACTACTGTTGGCAGGACATTTTTAGTTGGGTGCACTGTGGTCTTTCACCACAATGCTATCTGGTCAGCAGTGGTCCTACGGTGGACCGTTTCCACTGAAGAGCAGGGTAGAGGGTAGCTGATGAATTGTGCAGCAACAGATGGGCTACAGTCAGTAAACACACACATACAAAATATGCCTGTGTGGTAGGCGTTTCTGATCAAATGGCCAGTGAGTGCATATTTCATATACTGTTATTATATGATGATGTCATGTTGTGGCATATTGTACTCGCAACATAAAAGATCATTGTGCATATTTATTATACTTTCATGTTTGTGAAGGTCTGGTCAGTTTACACTTGACATTTTAATGTAAACCACTTCATGATTTGCTGTTTTATTTTTACCCGATTTTTCTCCCCAATTTAGTCGTCTCCAATTCCACCCGCTAGTTAGGACTCCCCCAATCACACGATGCTATCAACGCTAGGAGGGTGAAGGCTAACACAGGCTTCCTCCGAGACCTGTGAAGCTCCACCGCTTCTTTTCGAGCTGCCGCTCACGCAACGTCACTGGACAGCCGAACGCGCTCGGAGGAAGGCGCCAACCGCCAGATCTGTTACATCAGCTAACAGATGCCTGGCTGACTAGCATCGCGCTGAGTGATGGGGGGAGAAGGAGGGGCCATCCTACCCACCTAGAGAGAGCGAGGCCAATTGTGCTCTCTTGGACTCCCGGCTACGGACGACTGTAGCATCACCAGGGATCGAACTCGCGATCTCCTGATGACAGGGCCAACGCTTAGACGGTTGCGCCACTCGGGAGCCATGATTTGCTGTTTAAAGTGGTTGTACAGTCGATTTGTGTTGAACTCAGTTTTACGTTAGCAGTTGATCAGACATGACATGTTTGGTGTCTGACGTTTGCTTCTTTAGCTTTGTTCTGGAGCTAAGAGGCTAATGTAGCTAATAAATAGTGGAAGCTTATGTACACCAATTAGCACTGTGTGCGCACTATACAGATCATACAGTCTACACTGGTTTGAACTGTGTGATGATTTAGGGACCGTCACCAAACATATCAGACACCAAACACGTCTTGGCTGATCGACTACATTTGGGGTCTGGGGAATACCAGGAATACCAAGGTCACTTTTTTTAACAAACCAGCACTTTAAGAGACAAATGTGTCTTAAGATGCTGGGAAATATTAAATATTCACATATGTTATTGTGGTATTTGATATTATGGTGAAAACTGTCTTTACTGACAGAAACTCTGAGCACCTCTGTTGCTGTGTTGTTTGAGGCCAATACGCTGCTTCTGCATTTTAGAGAGTAAAACCGTGTTCACTCTCCGTCCCACAGCACCCGTTTGTAAAGTCAGTGAAGTCTAACCGTCCCGTGCGGGAGCTGGTGGCCGAGGCCAAGGCGGAGGTGATGGAGGTGATGGAGGAGATGGACGACAGCCACGAGGACGCAGACGAGGAAGAACCTGCAGACATCTCAGCTGTAAGCACTTCTGTTTGACTTATTTCTCCCTCTCTTCCTCTGTTTCTCCCTCTCTTCCTCCATTTCTCTCTAATTTTTGTCTGTTTCTCCCTCTTTTCCTCCATTTCTCCCTCTATTCTTATATTTTTCCCTCGCTTCTGTCTTTCTCTCTCTCTCGTCCTCTATTTCTCCCTTTCTTCCTCCATTTCTCTCTCTCTCTTCCTCCATTTCTCCCTCGTTTCTGTCATTTTCCCTCTCTTCCTCAATTTCTCCGTCTTTTCCTCCATTTCTCCTTCTCTTCCTCCATTTCTCCCTCTCCTCCTCCATTTCTCCCGCTTTTCTGTCATTCTCCCTCTCTTCCTCTATTTCTCCCTTTCTTCCTCCATTTCTCTCTCTCTCTTCCTCCATTTCTCCCTCTTTTCTGTCATTCTCCCCCTCTTCCTCAATTTCTCCCTCTTTTCCTCCATTTCTCCCTCTTTCTCCATTTCTCCCTCTTTTTGGTCTTTCTCCTTCTCTTCTTCTATTTCTCCCTCTCTTTCTGCATTTCTTTCTCTCTTTTCCTCCATGTCTTCCTCCATTTCTCCCTCACTTCTGTCTGTTTCTCCTTCTCTTCCTCTTTGTCTCTTGCTTTTTCTATTTCTCCATCGACTTGCTTCTTCTATTTGTCTCACTTCTCTTATTTTTCCCTCACCTCCTCCATTTCTCTCTCTCTTCCTCCATTTTTCCCTCACTTCTGTCTGTTTCTCCCTTTTTTCCTTTCTTCCTCACTTCTGTCCGTTTCTCCCTCTCTTCCTCCGTTTCTCCCTCTCTTCCTCTGTTTCTCCCTCTCTTCCTCTTGTTTCTCCCATCTTCCTGTATTTCTCCCTCTATTCCTCCATTTCTCCTTCTCTTCCTTTATTTCGTCCTCACTTCCTCTTTTCCTCCCTCAATTTCTTTAGTATTTCTCCCTGACTTTCTTTTTCCCTTCTTCACTTCCTTTATTTCTCCCTTTCTACCTCTGTTTCTCCCTTCCTTTATTTCTGCTTCTCTTTCTCTCTTTCTCCCTCACTCCCTTTATTTCTACCTCACTTGCTCTTGTCCTGCTTCATTTTCTTTATTATTTTTCCTTACTTCTGTTTTTCTTCCTTCACTTCCTTTATTTTATAACTTTATTTATAGAGCTCGAAGTGCTTTACAGTGAAACAGTAAGTTTATCAAATGAAAGCAAAAGTATAGAGAAATTAGATAAAATAACGCTAAAAACTGAGTAACATAAAAGCTTTTAAAATGAAAAGATGAAGATTGTTATGCATAATAAATGTAAATAAAGCTAAGTTTTTAGGTGTTTCGTAAACGTGGGTACCAGGCTTGACTGTTAAGGAGGAATTGAGCTCCACAGTTTAGAAGCATAACAACGTGCGCTCTGTAATTTATGGACGGAACATGCAGAAGGACGGAGTCTGCAGATCTAAGAATACGTGTTGGAACATAAACAGAGAGACGTTCTGTGATGTAAGTGCTGCTTTAAAGTTATTTAGAGCTTTAAAACTAGTAACAGAACTTTAAAACCTATCCTAAAAGATCCAGGCAGCCAGAGCAGATCTTTCTAAAAGGGGGTGATGTGAGCGCTCTGGTTTGATTTTATTAGGATCCGTGCTGCTGCATTTCGTACGGGTTTTAGAGGATGGACTGTTTTTCTTAGGAAATCCAGTAAAGAGACAGTTATCAGTTCTGCATGTGCAAGTCTTTCTGCACCGCAGTACAAAACAGCAACATTTCTAAATAATAATATTTCTCACATGATCGAATGCAACCTTAACATTACTTACTCTCACATGCAAAAGTTTAGACACCCCTTGTCAAATGACACAGTTTGTTGATTTTCTAAGTGAAAATAAAGTTGGACTTCCTGTACAGAGAACACACTTAAATATGACTTTCCTGCTAAATTTAGTGCAATTCTACTTCCTTGCTGGGTTTAACATGTTGGGGAAAAAAACAGCATAAGTTGTGGTCTGTGCAAAAGCTCTGACACATCATACAGGGTGATTCCAAAAGATTAATCCGATTTCAAAGCGCCATATTTTTACAACCGTCAGGCGCTTAGGAACCAATCACATACCAACTGAAAGAGGGGGTCATAGAGTTTCTGACGGTCAGTGGAAGACAGCTCCCTTCAGTCTGAGAGGAGATGCGACCCCTGAGCAGAAAGCGTTTTGCGTTCACCACTTCAATAAGAGTGAATCCGTCATAACTGCAATGTGATTTTCGTGGGCAGTGAAGCTCAAACAGCTCAGAGCGTTCATCGTTGGTTCCACAACACTGGATGATCTCCGAAATCACACTGAAAGAGCCGTGAGTGCAGCGACACCCGACATGCTCAATCGAGTACGTGATGAATCTGACTATGGCATTGATGTCCGTACAGCTGGAGGAGGTTCATACTGAGCACTTGTAAAATTACATAATAAACTTCATTCTCACTTAAACCATTTACAGTTCACTGCATTGCTCTGTAATGATTTACAAGTGAAATACATTATTTTAAATTCAGATGAATCTTTTTTAATCACCCTGTATATATATTATTTTTTTCCAGCATGTTAAAGGTCTTAAACAGACAAACTTACTTTCACTTAGAAAATCAACAAAATATGTAATTTGACCACGACATCCAAACTTTCGCATACAACTCTAATTGATTATAGTGGAATCTAACGTTCCAGAGTCGATGCGTTTGAGTCACCACCTGCAGTTCGATGCAGTTTTCCTCCCCTGTCCTTCCTGACACCTTTTTCCTCTTCACTGCTGTTTCTGCTGCTGTGGGCTCCATGTCCATTGGAAAGGGCAGGAAAAGCTGAACAAGACATCTTGGGGTGAAAGATTAGGTCAGGGTTTGTAGCGCGAGGCCGAGTGTGTTGTGTTCTTGCTGACCAGTGTGAGCTTATCAGCTACAGGACAATAAAAGTCAGCCAAACTGCAGACTGTCACATACAGCCTTGGCTCTGTCTTCCTCTGTTCCTCTCTTCCTCTCTCTTTCCCTCTATCTCTGTTTCTGTCTCTCTCTCCATTTCTCTTTTTCTTTTTCTTATTGGCCTCTCTCTTTCTCTGTCATTCTTTCCTGTTATTGTTTGCTTTCTCTCTCACACACACTCTCTGTTCCTCTCTCTTCCTTTCTCTCTCTTTTTCTCTCTCTATTTCTCTTTCTCTCTCTCATTGGCCTCTCTTTCTCTGTCTTTCCAGTTCCTGTGTGCCCTCTCTCCCCCTCTTGTTTTCCTCTCTCTCTCTCTCTCTCTCTCTCTCTCTCTCTCTCTCTCTCTCTCTCATATTGTGTTTAAACTTCCTTTAACATTGCAGTCCCACCCAACTTCAAATCTGGCGCCTGTGTATAAAGGCCTATTTCAGGAAAGCCTGGCATTTCAGTCCAAAATAACTGGCCTTAGAAACACAATGCCAAGCACTGACCAGAATAAACACTTCCATCCCTTTTAAAACCTTCTCCCTTCATTTTACTGCTGGCCTTCATCCACCGTCCAACAAGGGCTTTAATGATCAATCAAGATGGTTTCATCCACTTCCTAAAGGTCATTTAAAGAGCCCATACCCTGCATGTATGTATGTGTATGTAAATGAGCCTTGTTCTGATTGGCAGTCCTGTGTTATGACTGATTCAAAAAGTAGTCCAGGCTGAAACACTCCTTATAACTTCAGTGTGATTGAGCAGGGCTGAACTGCTATTGGCTAGATAGGTGGATATATGTAAATTAGTCCATGACATCACAAAAAGAGTGATTTCAAAATGGGCTGTTTCCATATGTATTAGCTTAGCTTCCAGATATAGACTGTATGGACTGGGGAATTTATAATAAGTTCTGAAACTTTAAATAATATTTAAAACCACATCAAACTTTTTTTTTTTTGTAAATTTAAAAAGTGATTTTTTCCCCATTATAAAGACACTCAGGTGCACATCCCTGTACAATGCTTATAGAAGGAGGGGCTCCTTGTGCAGGTGTTGACTGAAGGATGTGGTGCTTACGCTTCAGCAGGATTGCTGGCATTCCAACTCAAGTTCAAGGGCAAGCTCATTAATTAGTGAAGCAACAGCCTGGCTGCTTCGGGCCGCACCTGTTAAATAGCACTGTCGAGTGTCAGCTCGTACTGTACGACCGAGCATGGTAGTGTTTCACATCAGCGTTTGCAGAACTTGTCACTGCAGTCAGAGAGAGAGAGAGCGAGCAAGCGAGAGAGAGAAATCTGGTTAATGTACTGTCAGCAGGTAAAGGGCTAATAAAATAATTGACAAATCCATATGCTGTAGCTGTATGTTTATGAGCTCATCTGAATGCTTCAGTCGCTTTTATGTGTTTATAATAGAGCTGTGACAGTTATTTCTAAACTGGCTTAACCAATAGATTATTATTTGATTATTCAGCTGATCAAACATTCTGCCTTCTGTGCTTTTTCTCTTTGCCGCTTCCATCCTTGAAAGTTCCGTCTGTAGCCCTGTCTCACATAGCACCCTAATCCTCCTCCAAGACTGCACATACAAGGGGTCGGCAACCCAACTGTTAAGAAGAGCCATTTCAACAAAAATCGAAACATTTTATGTCCATTTTGCCATGTTGGCTGTAAATATGTCTCAGTATGTGCTGATGTGCTAATATAGGCTAACAAATTCACTAAACAAGAAAACACAGACTTACTTTGCTCTGCTTTAAGCTTTAGCTCAACTATAGCTGCTTTTCTCACATCTCCGGCAGGAAACTTTTCCAAAAGTAGGACAGTTTTTTGTAAAATGTCTCTCAACGTTTGATTTTTTACGAGGCTGAAGTCGCTTCTTATTCGCCAGCTTCTTGTTTGAATCTTCCCGTTCCACCTTAAATGGTGCCTGAGGCGCCAAAATGTAACTGCTGTGCCATTTAAGGTGGAACGTGAACATTCAGATGAGAAGCTCGCAAATGAGAAACTGACTTCAGCCTTGTGACTTTTTAATGTTTGACAGTTTCTCATTGCAGATTAAACGTATCAGGAAACCAGCTGGAGTGATTATGAATGCAAATAAGTCAACCCGTCTCCAAATTATGGACGTTCGTCTGAAATCTTTCTCTTTGCCTTTTCATTAGCTACCTGCTAGGCGAGATTGCCATTGTTGCTATGGTGACCAGAAGTCTGCGCACCAACCTTCAGGGTTAAAGGGTGAATCAGCAGTTCTACATTAACTCCAGAACTGGAGTTAAACTGTGTTGAACGATCAGCAGAGCTTTATTTTACTGTAAAGGAGGATTATTTTATTTTTACCTACAAATCTGATTCTGCTGTGGAGCCACAACAGGGCAGTAAAAGAGCTGCTTGTGGCTCCAGAGCTGCGTGTTGCTGACCCCTGGCACATACAGTCGTGTAGAAGCTTGGATGTCAAATGATGTTTTGTTGATTTTCTAAGTGTGAATAAGTGAACACATCCTCTACAGAGACACACTTCTGCACATTTAATGCACAGTTATTGTATGTTTGTTACATTTATAAATTTGCTAACATATTTTGAAAGAAATACATAAAACATAAAATGTGTAACAAAGTTATGGCAAAGTTTTTTTTTTATCATGTTAAACTAAAGTAAATAGAAATTAATACTTTGCTATAAAAAATCCCATATTTAGGTTTTCCCCTGTAGTGGAAGTGTGAACTTATTTTCACTTAAAAATTATTAAGTGAAAATAAAGTTATTTTCACTTTAAAAATCAACAAAATGTGATTTCACCAGGAGTCCTTGGCTCTGTCTCAAGGCATTGTGGGTGAAAGGACGCTGCTGACTCTAAGGTTGGGCACACAGAGCAGTGGTTTGCAAACCGATCCTTAGGGACCCCCAGACAGTCCACATTTTTGCTGTATCCCTATGAGGGTTGGAGCAAAAATCTGGATTGTCTGGGGGTTCCTGATGTCTGGTTTTGAGAACCACAGGCATTTTTTTAATGCTAAATTGAAAATTGGGACATGCAGCGGCCTTGTGGGTCTTGTGGGCAAAGACAAATGAAGACTGCAGGACCGCAAGTGTGCCATTTGAGTCGAGGCTCGTGCATCGAGGGATTTCTACTTTTATTGTTCAGGGGAAACAATAGAAGCCATATCGCCCCCTACACTCCCTGTAGTGTACTGCAGTCCGCCGGAATGACCATCGGTATCATATTAACAATGTAGAGCACTATCCAGTGTTTTTTACTAAATAAATGATGTTTACAATTAAAATCCATAAACATTTCACCATAATCAACTTTCATGCAGCTTTAAAGGGCCCATATATGGAAAACTGAGTTTTTCTCACTTTTTGTTTTTGGTAGTTTGTAAACATTGTAAAAGTATCAAAATGTGGCATTTACTCACCAGTGCAAACAGTCCTGATGTGGACACTAGGCTGCAAAAACAACCAATTTTGAAATCCTTGCTTCTGTGATGTCACGAAAACCAACACATTTACATATCTGTCTATTCAGGCTACTGCAGTTTAGTTATAGCCATTCATACTGAAGCTGAAAGGAGTGTTTCAGGCTGAACTGCTTTTTGAACATGGCACAATACAGAGCAGCCAATCAGAACAGAGCGCAAGACCATATATCAGTCTTAAAGGCACAGTAACAAAAATAACCTGTTGAAGATTAAGAGATAAATAGAGGTTGGAAAATGGTCATGTAGAAACTAATTATAAATGTTTTTTGTGCATTAAAGCACACAGATGCTATAAGTGCCCCCCAGGGGAACAGATAAAGTGCAACAAAAATGCGGGATTCGGGCCCTTTAATTTATAATCATCACCCTAAGCTGTGCTGTTTCGGCTCATGGAGAAGCAGAATGGTTCAGTTTCCATTTTCATTGTAACTGGAGCAAAGCCTACAGTGAAACAGTCAAATTTACTGCTTTGTTTTCTCTTCCATCTGCAGCCCCCGGGCAAAGATCCATCTGAAACCAGTCAGACCAGTCTGGACGACCACGCGGTCGGCGAATCGCCTGAAGCTCCAGAAACACCCGAAACACCTGAAGCTCCTGAGAGCCCAGCAGAAACGGAACCTGAGGCGGCCATGCCTGAGGATCCTCACAAGGAGGAGGAGCTTAGTGACAAACTTCCTGAAGAAGAGCTTCTGATGGATCACGACAAGCCTGAAAGCGAGACGTCTGGAAAAACTTCCAGCTCCGATTCAGGCATCGAAGACGGCCAAAGCACGCCTACTTCGGAAAAGGAGGTCAAGGAGGCGGAGACTTTGGAGTCAGAGTCACCTTCACCTTTGACACCTGCAGAGCCCAGTGGGCCTCTGCCAAATGTGGAGAACCCGGAAGAACATGAGGAAGAACCCAGCGAACAACGCGATGAAGAAATGCCAGGTTCCATCTCCACGCTGCCCCCACTGTTGAGAAATGGAACTGCAGGGTCTGAGGCGGTTGAAGGAGAAGATATGAAGGGCGCACCGCCTCGCGCTAACGGAGGGATAGTGAAGCGCTACTCGGACACAGGCAGCATGGACCTCAGCCCGAACACCTCAGGGGATATCTCAATAAACAAAGACACCGGCTCCGTGGCTGTTCGGGTAGGTCTGTGTGTGAATGTGTTTGCCTGCAAAGTTCGGCGAAAAATCCAATTTATACAGTTTTCCTCCTTTCTTCAAATGTCGTTGATCAGCCAAGATGTGATTGGTCTCTGAAGTTTGCTTCTTTAATTTTACTCCGGAACAGAAAACCAATAGACATCTGAAGTTGTGCATCATTCTCTAATCGGCTTCATGACCATATTAGGAACTCAGGGTCTAAGAGGTTTTTCTCTATGGAAAAAATGAAAGATATTTCCGAAAACTGCCACCATCACACTGTGTGATGAAGATGTACATAGGTAGGTAGGTAGGTGGGTGGATGGATGGATGGATGGATGGATGGATAAATAGATGGATGGATAGATAGAAATATAGATAAAAGTATAGATGGATGGATGGATGAATAGATGGATGGATAGATAGAAGTATAGATAGAAGCATAGATGGATGGATGGATGGATGGATGGATGGATGGATGGATAAAGTATAGATAGAAGTATAGATAGAAGTATAGATAAAAGTATAGATAGAAATATAGATGGAGGGATGGATGGATGGATTAATAGATAAATAGATAGAAGCATAGATAGACGCATAGATGGATGGATGGATGAATAGATGGATGGATGGATAAATAGATAAATAGATGGATGGATGGATAAAGTATAGATAGAAGGATAGATAGAAGTATAGATAAAAGTATAGCTAGAAGTATAGATAGAAGTATAGATAGAAGTATAGATAGAAGTATAGATAGAAGGATGGATGGATGAATAGATAAATAGATAGAAGCATAGATAGACGCATAGATGGATGGATGGATGAATAGATGGATGGATGGATAAATAGATAAATAGATGGATGGATGGATAAAGTATAGATAGAAGGATAGATAGAAGTATAGATAAAAGTATAGCTAGAAGTATAGATAGAAGTATAGATAGAAGGATGGATGGATGAATAGATAAATAGATAGAAGCATAGATAGACGCATAGATGGATGGATGGATGAATAGATGGATGGATGGATAAATAGATAAATAGATGGATGGATGGATAAAGTATAGATAGAAGGATAGATAGAAGTATAGATAAAAGTATAGCTAGAAGTATAGATAGAAGTATAGATAGATAGATGGATGGATGAATAGATAAATAGATAGTATAGATAGAAGTATAGATAGAAGTATAGATAGAAGTATAGATAGAAGTATAGATGGATGGATGAATAGATAGATAGATAGATAGATAGATAGATAGATAGATAGATAGATAGATAGATAGATATTGACAAATGTACACTTTTTCCTGATTGTCATTGGATCTCCTGAAATGTGGCTACATTTAGCCGTGCTACAAGCAAGCTAACACTCCTGTACAGTGAAATGATAAAGTCTATTATTAAACTTCAACACTATATTATATAACAACACTAGCTAAGCAAACTCTAGACTACCCCTGTCAGATCTCTTAAATACATCATTTGGCAAAGCTAAAGGGCTATTTGCTATTTTTGGTGAGGTTGCCAGGCTTCTGATGTCAGTTTAATGCATGTTAGCTTGCCTGTTGCAACATTCATATTTTGACTATTAACCGACCTGTTAATTCAGATGATCCAGCAACATTCAGGGGGAAAATGTACAGAGGACAAAATGTAACAGATTTTGAACATTTTCGTTCACCATAAGGCGCAATAGCAGTGATTTTCTCTAACAGAAAGACTGCTTAGACACAGAGTTCCTAACCGGGCAGAATGATGAAGGTTAGATTCGCCTTAAGTACTTCATGTAGCTAAAAACAATAGTAGCACTGATCCTGAAGACAAAGTTTTTTAGACTCCATGCATGTCGTGGCTTTTTGACCACATTTGCGATAGTGGGAAAACTGTGAATGAATATTTTTTGCTTAACTCTTGCTTTTTTTTTTTTTTCTGTTCCTCTCTTTTTTCCTCTGTATGCTCAGTTTGAACTCTTTGTGCTGATTCTGGATCATCAGTTTTCTGCTGCTAGGAGTTTAATGCCGGTGTCAGGCTCACTTTGGTAACATTTTATTTCAGAAACAAAAGACCACATAATATCCAGCAGCAGAGATTAGAAATACATTTTCATTTTGATTCCTTCCCCAGTTTTCCATACCACCCTCTACAGCTGATAACTGGTTAGAACAAAATAAACCAGTGGTTAATGATGCTCCTCTGGTACAATAAACTGTAAATATTAGTCCCACACTATTACAGTAATAACACTACCACTACTGCATTTACACAATGAATGATATATTTTGATATTTAAAGAAGTGTTTTTTTGTCTTTCTAGGCTAATTGCATGAGGTCACTTCCGAAATTCACATAGCTAGGAGTAACTAATATAACTCCTGTTGAGTCACTGCCCATTGGAAAACTTGATTGATTGATTCCTCTGTCACTAACCCTTATTATGTTGGTGGTTAATCCGATGCGTAGATCCTTCAGTCCAGCTCCTGAGGTCCTGGCCAGAGGGTGAGCTTGCTTGCCTGAATCTAAGAAGGGGAAAAAACAATCCTGATTGGATAATTTTCCTTTTGCAGTTTCAGTATTTTATCCCCTCCTTTTACAATCAAAATGATGAGAATGAGATAAGACTATTACTACAATACATGCAGAATTGAAATACAGCAAACATGTGCTTCTTTGAAATAAAATTGAACTAACAGTTGTAATATTTAGTTCCCAGAAATCATAAGGCCTTCTCTGAAGGTCTAGAAGGCCCTAAAGGTTCCCGTCTTATTAAAATAGAGTTAAAAGCTAGAAGGCCGCATGGTGATTGACAGTGCTGTGGCCTTGGCAGCATAAGCGTTGCTTCAGCTCCTTATGCCCCTGTACCAGAGAGCTGTTCCTGTATGGCAGAGAAATGTGTCTGAACAGTGGGCCTGCTTGTGAGAGCTGGTGGAACATTCTGGGGGAAAAAAGAGGCTTCAGTGGGCAGTGGGTGGTACAGCAGTACAGTAGAGTTACTGAGCTGGAGCTGGGTGTGGGAAAGGACAAACAGAGAAGAGTCTGTCTACACTCCCACCAAAACGGACAGGGAGCCCAGCTACACCCCCACCAAAAATGTACAGGGGTCTGTCTGCACCCCCACCCAAAATGTACAGAGTCTGTCTGCACCCCCACCAAAACGTACAGAGTCTGTCTGCACCCCACCAAAAAAAAGTACAGAGATTCTTTCTGCATCTGCAGCCCCACCCAGAACTTAGAGAGCCCATCTACAGCCCCACCCAGAATTTACAGAGTCCATCTACAGCCCCACCCAGAACAGAGCCCATCTACAGCCCCTCTCAGAACATGCAGAGAGCCCGTAAACAGCCCCTCCCAGAACATGCAGAGAGCCCATCTACAGCCCCACCCAGAACAGAGCTCATCTACAGCACCACCCAGAACATACAGAGAGTCCATCTACAGCCCCTCCCAGAACATGCAGAGAGCCCATCTACAGCCCCTCCCAGAACAGAGTCCATCTACAGCCCCACCCAGAACATGTAGAGAGCCCATCTACAGCCCCTCCCAGAACATGCAGAGAGCCCATCTACAGCCCCACCCAGAACAGAGTCCATCTACAGCCCCACCCAGAACATGCAGAGAGCCCATCTACAGCTCCTCCCAGAACATGCAGAGAGCCCATCTACAGCCCCTCCCAGAACATGCAGAGAGCCCATCTACAGCCCCTCCCAGAACATGCAGAGAGCCCATCTACAGCCCCACCCAGAACAGAGTCCATCTACAGCCCCACTCAGAACATGCAGAGAGCCCATCTACAGCCCCTCCCAGAACATGCAGAGAGCCCATCTACAGCCCCACTCAGAACATGCAGAGAGCCCATCTACAGCCCCTCCCAGAACATGCAGAGAACCCATCTACAGCCCCTCCCAGAACATGCAGAGAACCCATCTACAGCCCCTCCCAGAACACACACAGAACACATAAACAGCCCCTCCCAGAACATGCAGAGAGCCCATCTACAGCCCCACCCAGAACATGCAGAGAACCCATCTACAGCCCCACTCAGAACATCCAGAGAACCCATCAATAGCCCCACTTTATTTTTGTCAAATTTCCTAAATTCAGAGCTCATTATTTATGTCAGGTTTTTTTGTTTGTCATCATGTAAAAAGTCACATCGTTGGGAAAGATCCGGTGTTGATTTTGAGCTGTGAAGCTACTCACTCACTCAGTTTTACCAGGCTTTCCAAAAGGGGGTGCTGTTAACACTTCTACTTAGCTTCTGGGTCAAGAGAGTGGCGCTTCACATCAGTGACAGTGTCTTTGTTTTGTTTGTATTCAAGATTTTAGGGACTAAACCTCTGATTGATAGTTTAAGCTGAAGGTTCTCCAGAGTCAGCTGTTAGCATTGATTGCTAGTTAACACGCTTATTTGAAACCTTATCACTGTATAGCACGACAGAAGTTCCTCAGATTTGCTGACGCTAGTTTCCTCACTGTATCAGCCATAAATACTGACATCAGAGACAGAAGGTGTGACAGTCTGCTGCCTCGAGTTACACCGATAAGTCAGGCTGCTCAGTGACAACAGAGATGGAAGTCCTTAGAAATGGGTATGAATATTTAGAGGAATAGGTAGATAATAAAAGTCCATGTAGGGGTTGGGGCTGAACGATTTGCGGAAAATATCTAATTGCGATTTTTCTGACTAATATTGTGGCCGCAGTTTAAATCGCGATTATTATCTATAAGATATAAAGTTCAGGCCTGTTTTGGCCAAGAAATCTAGAATATACACCTTTTCTGGCTTGCGGCTTGACCCTTGAATGTAATGTGCCAAACTGCCAGTAAGTTGTGGTTGTGATGTCCGCAACACATGGAGTTTTGGTTGCCTTTGATTGTTCTAACTCACCTAAAGGCACTTCACCAGCTCTGTGTTATTAGGTTTAATTTCCACTCTTAAAACCTTTTTGATAAAGCTTTATTTTAAAACAATTGCAGCTCTTGCAGTTTGAAAATTGCCCTTTGTTAAATTGCGTTTTCGATATAAAAACGATTAATGTTTCGGCTCAAGTAGGGGTTCAAAGCTTTATTGCAAAATTTAATTGAAAAAAAAAAACTGGTAGTACCAGCACGGCTCCATGTAAGGATTGGAAAAATCTTAATTATTTGTGTGTAGCCTGTAACAGCGAATTATTTAGCCTCACCCGACGGAGAACAAACAAGAAGAATAATAGAAGTATTCGGTACAAGCAGAGCAGGTATTACAGATACGTAATGAGGTATTATGACTGTTCTCATGCCACTGTGCTATATTTACTATTAAACAGAAGCAGCAGACCACATATACAGTTCTGCTCTCTCTCTCTCTCTCTCTCTCTCTCTCTCTCTCTCTCTCTCTTTCTCGTTCTATCAGTTATCTGAAGCTCCTCTATCTCCATCCTTCTCCCAAGCAGCCAGTGTGCTGAGTTACTGTCACTTTTTCCATCCGTTTCTACCAACGCCTCTTTGTCTGAGGCCCATTCTGCTCTGCCGTGCTGCTTCTGTGTGTCCATTGTCGTGGGCAGTTTCTGGTTGATGGACTGATGGGCTGCCATCCCTGGTATGCTATTCATCACTCAGAGCAGGCGGTCATTTGTAATATGCTCATTTTTTCCAGAACAAGATTATTCAGCATGTGTGTTTTTTCTTTTCCTTCTTTTGAATTGCACTCCAGCTGTTCACGGTGACTGTGAACAGTGTGGAATGTAGTCAGCAGCAAGGCTAGTTTTAGTTTGTAAGAGGCTCATTTTCACTGTAATGACCTAGAACATGTGAAGACACACTTTCCGAAATATTTTTATTGACTTTAAATGCAATGAATGGAAATGAACATAAGATCACACACAAGTGGAAAGGAGATGTAACAAGGTATAAGAAATAAAACTCTTTTTGAGGCTCTACTCCAGCATGGCAGACATGAACTGTTTGCTTACACTGGCTTTTTGGCCTTTTTTTCCTTTTTTTCAATAGAAGCATGTTTACCCAGCTGGCTGCAGTAAATAGGCTTTTAGCTTCCAGAAGTTTAGTGATGTCTTTTCTTCCCACCACGTCCCAGGATACCTGCTGAGGCCTAAAGGCCAGCTTATTGATTCTGATCTGTCTGGGTTACAGTGGAATACAATACATACAGGCGGCTTATTAATTACTTTGTACTCATGCATGTTGGAAAAAAAAAACAATGGGTATGAGGTTAAAGTGCAAAACGTTCAGCTTTAATTTGAAGATATTCATATCTGTGTTGTCTGAACCATATAGAAACCACAGCCCTTTACACATAGTCCCCCATTTCAGAGGGTTAAAAGTAATCAGACAGTTGGATGCTCAGTTGTTTGCCTCGTTAGTTCAGGCACTAGAGAGCTTACGGAAGGTTTAGAGTTTATTCTAGATCCCATGTGTCAAACACAAGATCAGGCCCACGACACAATCCTATCTGGCCCCCAAAAGTATTTTAATTTTCTATAAAAATTAGCTCGTTTCACAACGCGCTGCACTACATTCCCCAGCATGCACTGCACCGTAATGCACGCTCTGACTCTCCTACCCCAACAGTAATCTATGGGACCACGGTTACACCCCAATTCTGCACAATTCCACACCAGTCATATCACCAAACACACTAGCTGCATTTCAGCTGTTCGGGTTATAGCATAACATTTAATTAAGAATGAAATAAAAACAATTTTTTCTCTGGCCCACGGATTTGTGAGATTTTAGGGGAGAGGTCTAGATCTCCTGAGCTTCCTAGAGTCTAGATCTCCTGAGCTTCCTAGAGTCTAGACCTCCTGAGCTTCCTAGAGTCTAGATCTCCTGAGCTTCCTAGAGTCTAGACCTCCTGAGCTTCCTAGAGTCTAGACCTCCTGAGCTTTCTAGAGTCTAGACCTCCTGAGCTTTCTGGAGTCTAGACCTCCTGAGCTTTCTGGAGTCTAGACCTCCTGAGCTTTCTGGAGTCTAGACCTCCTGAGCTTTCTGGAGTCTAGACCTCCTGAGCTTTCTGGAGTCTAGACCTCCTGAGCCTTCTGGAGTCTAGCCCTCCTGAGCTTTCTGGAGTCTAGCCCTCCTGAGCTTTCTGGAGTCTAGATCTCCTGAGCTTCTTAGAGTCTAGACCTCCTGAGCTTCTTAGAGCCTAGACCTCCTGAGCTTTATACAATCTAGACCTCCTTAGCTTTGTGTTGGAGCTCCAGTCCAGGCTGTAGATAAGTAATGCTGTCACTTCCTACCCCAGAATAAGTTTTCTAGAGTCTAGGCCTCCTGATCTTCCTATAGTCTAGATCTAATGATCTTTCTACAGTCTAGATCTCCTGAGCTTCCTAGAGCCTAGACCTCCTGAGCTTTCTGGAGTCTAGACCTCCTGAGCTTCTTAGAGTCTAGATCTCCTGAGCTTTATACAATCTAGACCTCCTGAGCTTTGTGTTGGAGCTCCAGGCCAGGCTGTAGATAAGTAATGCTGTCACTTCCTACCCCAGAATAACCCCTATGTAGTTTCAACCGGATCTGTGAAATTAGCCAAATCTCACTCCTTCCTGTACAGTGACCTCACACTCGTCTATTATGTTTAATTCACATTTCCTCCTCCCTCTTTCTCTTACACTCCTTATCTCTCTCTACACATCATTTAGTTTTTACTCCTCCCTTCATTTTCCTGTTTCAGTAATTGGCTTTGCTGAGTTTGCCTCTGCTGTAACGGCTCCGACATGGAATTTCTAGGCCGATAGTGATTCCAGTAATCTGATAGTTATTTACTGTAATTCTAATTTCAGACCAATTCTAATTATTAGGAACATGTAACACTTCACAAAATTCACTATTTGATACTGTACTCTTACCACACTGGTCTATAAGCATTCAGTCAGTAAACCTGTATCATTGCTCTGCTGGTTGCTAAAAAACAAACACAGTTTCTTAACGGTAAGCTGCTGAAACTACTTTTTGGTGTACATAATTGACAATATTCAAAATTTGTATTTGAAACAATTTTAGAGGCTTTGCCTTGTGGTGATCTACTGTGACCAGATCGCAGCTGTAATGATATTCATAACCCACCACCACACGTGTTATAACTTGCAGCCCTAGTTTTAACTTCAAACATTAAAATAATACCTCTCATAACATTTTCTCTCTCTCTCTCTCTCTCTCTCTCTCTCTCTCTCTCTCTCTCTCTCTCTCTCTCTCTCTCTGTGTAGGGTTCACGATTGTTACGTGGGACACTGAAACGCACGCGCAAGTTTGTGGTGGATGGAGTGGAGGTCAGCGTCACCACCTCCAAAATCATCAGCGACGATGATAAGAAAGATGAGGAGATGAGATTCCTCAGGCAAGTTCCTGGAAAATGCACATACACACACACCACACACGCACTCTAAGATGCACCCATTGCTGATGCAGGTGGTCAGTTCACCCACACAGCTGGTACAATAGAAAAGCATTGACCAATAGAATGGAGCACTCTGGAGCAGCCACACATGAGGTCACTGTGACTGATGCCAAGCATCAGCTAGAGAGGTATAAAGGCCCCAGCATTAGGCTGTGGAGCAGTGATTAAGCTCCATCCAAAACCTTTGGGATGAGCTGAAGTGATCCAGAACTGAAAATCCAACATCAGCACCTGACCTCACTAATGCTCTTATTGGCTGAATGCAGTCAGATCCTCACAGCAACATTCCAACATCCAGTGTAACCCCCTGCAGCAAAGGGGGTCAAACTCCCTATTAACACCCTTCATTTCAGAAGAAAGTTACAGTGCTCATCTACAGAAAATAGTGTCATACAGTGTTAGACACTGGTGTACATAAGCTTTCATTACTTGTTAGCTACATTAGCCTTGTAGCTCCAGTGCAAAACTAAGGAAGCAAACTTCAGACACCAATCAAGCCTTGACTGATCACTACTTTTGGTCTGAGGAGAAAAGTGTGTGAACAAGCTTTTCCACTGAAATATCACTTTAATCATGCCAGGGTAAAAAAGACCCCCAGTGCTCGTTCTTTCTCCTGAGCAGTTGATCACTCTCTCAATGTTGAGATGTGCTCTGAGTAAACAGCCTATTTTAGGCCCTCTGAGAGTGCCACGCTAATACACAAGGGATGCTTTGTGTTTGCAAGCATTAAGAAATGAGCTCTAGTGGAGGCCGAGAGGCTGAGACTGAGTTTTCCATCTGCTTAAGAATCAGTTATATCCATGTTTCCCAACCCTGCTTGTGGAGAACTCCTGTCCTGCCCTTTTTGGTGCTTTCCCAGCTCTGATTCTAGTCAAGCAGGACTTGATATAATTACCTGATAATAAGACTCGGCTTAGATGTGGGCGACATTGTTACAAATATAACAGTATAATGATACTTGAAGACATTTTTACGATAATTGACATGTATCACAATGTTTAGTTTTTAAGAGGGTTGTGAACAAGTGACAACATTTGCAAAAAATAAAATGTTTTAAGGAAAAAACCTAAACACTTAAAACAAAAAATAAGATGATGTCATAATGGGCCGACGCCCAATCAGCTACTTTTTCCTGCAGTTAACTGGTTGTTGTTTACAGACTTTCTACAATTGGTCTAAATCTGTCTCTATGACATGGACAGTTGCGGTCGTAAAATCTGAATGATGAGTTCTGTTTACAGTGAGTACTTTCAGTGGTTCTAAAATCCTCACTGTACGCTCACCTCTGACGGCCTCACAGCTCCTAAATTCTGTATTTATGCGACAAGTCACTAAAAATCCTAATGCTCCTCGCTCTGCCCACTGAGGGGCTGATATACTTGATTAAGTATCCAATTGCCTTAATGACAGCGTCAGTCCTGTCAAAACTCTGCCGAACTGGTGGGCCTCTAGTCAGAGTTGGGAAACAGTGACGCAGTGAAGTCTAGAGCAAGATTTTCTGGTTTAAAGACTCTTCTGATGATGTGTCTGGAAGGTGGGAGGAACCCTTGAAAAATGGCAAGCAGTTTCGGGTAGATTGCTAAGGGAGGGCTTACTTACACATATATATATATATATATATATATATATATATATATATATATATATATAATGCCTGTTGAAAAAAACTCCTTGACTTACATTAAAAGTAAGTTTTTTCCTTCTCCTGTAAAGTTTTATATATATATATATACACACACACACACATACACATATATATATATATATATATATATATATATATATATATATATATATATATATATATATAAAATTATTATTATTATTTTTCCTTTTTAAATAGATGGCTAGCTACATCAGTAGCTCTGTGCTATCAGTGTTTCTTTGTCTCAGTGGTTGAAATAAACAAAGTTGTCAGACTGATGAGGCTGAGGGATCCAGTGTTTGCTGTAGAATATTAGTCAAAATGGTCACAAACTGCCAGTTCTTCCATTTTTTCAACAAGCAGAAAACTTATCTTTAACAATTTCACAGAAGCCTCAACAAATACAGATAAAATTGTTTTTCAATATTTAGTCTTTCTGCACTTTCTCCTTATTACTACAGCTTCCATGCTATTCAGGAGGCTCAATTTCAGTTTTTAAAAATAAAACTGCAGATATACTTTCCCTATTTTACCTTTTACATTATAACTCAGAAGTTCAGTCTTAGAACTTGGTCGTATTTTTTGCTTCTCACGGTCCGAGTAATCCCAAACACATTTAACGATGTTGAGGTCTGGACTCTGGGGACATCTGTACATTCTTTCAGACTCATAGCTTTGATCTGTCTTCTCAGGAGGGACAGAAACATTGGAAGGTACATTATTGTCTATTAGGAGGTTGTTTGGTCACATCACACATTTTACACAGTTCACATCCATGTACTTCTATAAAGAAAGCTTGCTTCGCAGTTAGACACATGAATATAGCCCCAGTGGCAGTGACATCCTTTACTGCCATCTAGTGGCTATACAGTGCCATAAACCTGTACATAATATTAATCAAAGAGATGCTGGACAGATAATGATAGAAAGAGCCTGTGAATTAATGATATTCAGGCTGATTCCACTTCAGAAGTGAGAATATGTTTAAATTTGCTGTCCATTAGCAGCGTAAAGTATGACCACAAGCTCAGTCTAGCTGATGGATCTCTCCTCACTGTCTAGTGTAATTTAATAAGGCAGAAGGGTGAATTTATTCCCATGAACCTCAGCCTGGGAGGAATGAAACACTGGCGTTTCTGAGCTGCTCTGCTGTATCACAGACACATTCTTATCATTCCTTAGTTGACTGGTGACCCCACAATCATTAGTCCGAATTTTGAGCTGGAGAGTTGCTGGAATTAATGTTTAACTGCTGTGTTTTATTTGAAAAAGTCACTGCTGGTCAAAAATGAGGTTTTATGAACGAGGGATGTAAAATCTTAGAATCTGTTATTATCAATAATAGTAACATTCAGTAAAGAATGTGCTCAATGTGTTAAAATAACATTCTCTGGCTATTTTCAGACATAAAAATGATGTATTAATGTTATTGCCTGTATTCCACTACAGTGTAAACTCAGTACTATGCATAAGTCAGACACCACCATATTTAATCTCCAGTGCCACTAAATGTAAATGATTTCTTTTCAGCATTAAGATTAAGTGACCCTTATAAGTCCCACAATGGGGAAATTTCACCTCCGCATTTGACCCATCCGTGCAGTGAAACACCACATACACACTAGTGAACACACACTAGGGGGCAATGAGCACACTTGCCCGGGGCGGTGGGCAGCCCTCTCTATGGCGTCCGGGGAGCAGTTAGGGGTTATGTGCTTTGCTCAAGGGCCCCTCAGTCATATACTGTCGGCTCAGGGGATTGAAACGGCGACCTTCTGGTCACAAGGCTGGTTCCCTGACCTCCAGCCCACGACTGCCCCATTAGGAAAAGAGAAGACAACTCAGCGCTATGGGTCTGAAAAGTTGTGTAGCTGTCAAGAAGACCTCACTAAAAAAGGAGACAGACACATCAAACAAAGAAGCTGGACAATGGACTGACCACCCCGGAGTCCAGACCTCAACATCAGTGAATGAGTTTGGGGTTAGTTGGATCACTGGAAACTTCTAAGACTGAACTTTGGAGGTGTGGAAAAATATCCCTGCAGATTTCTTTAAACAACTAAAAGCAAGACTCTTAAAATGAATGGAAGCTGTAATAAAGGCAAAGCATGGGCACTTCATATTGAGAAATATGATGATATATGTAGTTGTTGAGGCTAATTTTATATTAAATTTATGTTTTCTGCTTTTGTTTTTTATCTAAAGCTGAAAAATGAACCTGTACTCAGTGGCCATTTTGACTGGAAATTGAACAAATGAAGGGTGGTCTCTGACTTTTGTTTAGTTCCTTCAGTCACATTTGTGTATTCAGTGTGTTTTTAAATGTGTGTGTGTGTGTGTGTGTGTGTGTGTGTGTGTGTGTGTGTGTAGGCGTCAGGAGTTGAGAGAGCTGCGTTTGCTGCAGAAAGAGGAGCACCGAGCTCAGGCTGTTCTCAACACTAAACTGGAGGCTCAGAGAGACCAAATGCAGAAACGCTTCGACCAGGAGATGAACGTAAGTGTGTCTCACACACAGTCATATACAGTGTGTTCAGATGATGTTACTGTTAGCTTGAGAGTTGGCTTCTCTATACTCCACCTGTAATGCATTCTTTCTAGGTTAGGTTAGACGAGCTGTACTGGACGTTGTTAGAAGCCCCCTGTCAGCCTAATGAGAAACTGTAGTGATCTTTGTTTAGATTCGCCACATAATGTAGAGTTTCCAGTGTAATAATCATGTGGTTTAGTAGCTAATCGAAACTAAGCAGGTTGAAAACAATAAAAACATAATTACACAACAAAGGCTACGTTCACATTACAAGCCTCTTTGCTTAAATCTGATTTTTTGCTCAAATCCGATCTCTCTGACATGATGGTTCACACTAATTTAGGTAAGTGACTCAAATCTGTCATTAATGTGACGAACCGGCGTCCTGAAATGACCCTCATGAACACATCCTACTCAGTAACGTCACGTGAATGAATCACGTGCATCATCAGCAAACAAACTAACGAGCAGAACGAGCTTCGCTGAGAAGATAATTAACTCTGATCAGCTCTCAGCTTCATTATTAGAGCGAGATGAAGAAGAAAAAGGTGAAATGTGTTGCTTTTTCACCGTTTACAGGCTTTAACTTCTGTTCGGCGCTGCTGCCATGGTAACGCTGAATGATGGCACACGCACAGTGGAAAAAAGCATGAATTCAGATCTGAGCGTCACATTAAGGTCGCATGACCACAAATCTGATACGTGTCCGATCTAGGACCACATATGAAAGTGGCTCAGGTCGGATTTGAAAAGATCAGATTTGCGTGTCCAGATTTGCATATCAGATCCGAGTCACATTAGGGCAAAGAATCAGATTTGTGCCACTTCAACCTGATAATGTGAACGTAGCCAAAAAAACTGCATTTGATAATTTTGCGCACACTTTTGAAAATTAAAACTTTGTTTGAAAGTGATCTAAGTGTGGTGCTGCTAGCCAAAACAAGACAAACAAAATATGCTGCTTTTTGAATAATTATGTTTATGCTAATTTCGGTCCATAAAATCATACAGTTCATGGTACTTGGTGACTGCAGCTGCTCCTCCCTCCTCCATTGCCATGACAGAATCACCTTCTGTTCGCACTGATTAGACAGAAACAGACTCTTATGAAGTAGCGTACATGACTACTGTCAACCGCCCAGGTGCAAAAACAGCAGAATATATTAGAAACAAAGTGCATTGATCCTGATAAGAACACTCACAATGTGAACCCCTATTGATGTGCTACTGTCTCTTAGCTACTGGCCATCAGCATCTAAAGCCCATGTGTCAAACACAAGGCCCGCGGTATACTCCTATTCAGCCTGCGAAGTTATATTCATTTTCTATTAATGTTAGCTTAATTCACCATGAGCTGCACTACAACCCCCAGCATGCACTGCAACGTAATGTGCGTCTATGGGACAGCACCATAAAAAGAAAAGATGCCAGGTGTTGAGCTCAAGCAGACAGGCAGGTTTAAAGACCTACCATACATTGGGGACATTTAAAGAGGTTTAACAGTTTCTGTAGCGATGTAGCCTATTGTTTATATAAAGTCAGTTGTTTTAAATAAAACAAGTTGCTTTTATTTCAGATTATTTTTGAACAGGTCAAGTATTCAGTGCCTGAAATGAAAACACAGCCGGCCCACGGATTTGTTGGGATTTGTTTAGATTGGTTGAGTTTGACACCCCTGATCTAAACCTTCTTATGAGGTCTCGGGTTTACATGCACTTCTACTGCATGCTCCACATGAAACGTCTACCAATTCAAAGAATGTTTCACAATATTTCACGTATTTCAGGTCTGAATTTTGTCTGTACTTTAGTCCGTGTTTGTAGTTAACAGTCTGATATACAGTCTGTGTGTCAGAAACCACATAAGTAAGTCTATTTGAAAATACTGAACTCTGTGGTTTGAGGCAAGTATGTGATGTCTTAGACTTCAGTTTGCGTGATGCTGATTGATGGGCTGTACGCTTTCATTACTTGTTACCTACGTTAGCTTCCTAGCTTGAGTGCAAAGCTAAAGAAGCAATCTTTAGACACCAAACATGTCTGACTCCATTTTGACTCAAGGGAAAATCTAAATTTGTTTTTACACCAAACTATTGCTTTACCTTTGAGGAAAAATCAATCTGGCGGCATCACCGAAGCTTCCTCTGCTTTCAGGCGAAGAAGAAATATTACGACACTGAGCTGGAGAATCTGGAGAAGCACCAGAAGCAGACGATTGAGAAGATGGAGGTGGACCACGCGGTGCGGCTGCGGGACGAAACCAAACGCATCCGCGCTGAGCAGGAACGAGCTTATCTCAAGTTCCAGGAGCAGATGAAGCAGCGCAAGAAGGAGGTGCAGTATTACGGCATGAGAGAGCCTCACATATTCGATCAGTATTTCTCTCAGGGTCAAATTGGACAACCTAGTATTTTCCCCACTTTAATACAGTGAAAATGCTAAGTGTGATGTACAAGAAGGATCATATAAATAAAAGAACCTTTCAAACAAGAAAAAAACAAAAATGATTAAGATGAAAGGAATCAAATAAAAGAATAGATAAAACAAATGAATGAACATAAAAGCATATTGACAATTGTAAGCTTGATTAAAAGAGAATGTTTTAAGTTACTTTGTAACCTTGTAGTATTTCATTCAAAGGCATGAATAAGAAGCCAAATAAAATAATAGAATTGATTCAATGTTGTAAAAAATCTAATAAATAATAATTCAGTGTCTTATTTAAATTTGAGTTTTCAGGATAGTATTTAATAGAAAAATAAAAGTATTCAGTGGTTACAGCCCTAAACTGTGCAGTGCCGTGACCCTCCAGATGGTGATCCAGTTATTTCAGTGCTGTTTTTATGTGGTGCCATAAGAAGGAAATAAAGACTTCCAAGCTAAACTAAAGGTTTGTGTTCCAGGTAAAACACGAGGTGAAGACGTTGCCGAGGAGCCAGAGGAAGGAGACTCTGAAAGTCCGCATGAACACCTTCCAGCAGAAGAAGATTACGGAGGTGAACATGTTCACACTGACCATCCTGTATATACAGCCATTAACATTGTTGCTATAGACGCATTGTGCAGTGGCTGAATATTTGTATATTTTCCTCTCACTCATTGTTTGTCTGATCAGGAGGAAGAGTTCCGTGTGTCTCAGATCACCTACCTGGACTCAACCTTGAAGAGCATCATTGCCCAGAACAAGCGAGAAATCGCAGATACAGAGCGGCAGTTCCTGGACAAGAAACAGCACTTAATTCGAGGTATAAATTTCCAGTTCGAATTAGAATTAGAATTCAGAACCATTAGCTAACTGTGTTTGCACACAGAGGAATTAGACCTCCACATTTAACCCATCAATGCAGGGAAACACCACATATATGCACACTAGTGAACACACACACTAGGGCGCAGTGAGCAGCCCTATCCACGGCGCCCGGGGAGCAGTTGGGGGTTAGGTGCCTTGTTCAAGGGCACTTCAGTGACGTATTGTCGGCTCAGGGGATCGAACCAGCGACCTACCAGTCACAGGGCTGGTTCCCTGACCTCCAGCCCACAATTGCCATGTTATTCCGAATAACATTGTTATTTCAAAGCAACCTGTTCAGTTTATGTACAGAAACTAAGCTGAAAAACAGCTCGTTTTGAATTCATGGTTATGATGTCACAACCATAATGCATTTACCTATGACCCATAGACCTATAGTAGTTTAGTGTCAGGAAGCAAATGGATGATTACAACCTTCCAATGAATCTGCACATCTGAAAAAAGTGGCTGAAGTTTATTTTTCCCCACTTCCCTGAGGATTTCAGTCTGAATGTGAAAGTTTGTTCTGTACATTTCAACCTGGACTGCTTCTTGAATGATGCACAATACAAGGCATCCAATCAGAGCAAAGCTCATTTACATATATCCATCTTAGTTGATTTCTAAGGGATAAAGAGAGATTGAAAAGTGGACATGAAATTCATTTTTAGTATATAGAACACAGTCCTAAATATGCTAGATTAAAGGGTCTGTATCTTAAAAAAACTGAATTTTCTTTACTGTTTTGAAGTAACAGTTCGATGAAGCATTTAAACGTTTAAATATCAGTACACAATATTTACTCTCTAGTTCATACAGCCCAAATATGCAAATTAGCTGCAAAAAAACACCTGTATTGATTTCACTGTTTTTGTGATGTCACAACATCTTTACATATATCTGTCTATTCAGCCTACAATATTTAGCCCCTCCCATTCACACTGAAGTTATATAGAGTGTTTCAACCTGGATTGCTTTTTGAATGAGGCACAATACAGGACAGCCAATCAGAACAAAGCTCATTTACATATATCAGTCTTAAAGGCGCAGTAACAAGAACAGCCTGATTAATCTAAAAGATAAAGTGTTAAAATGAATTATGACTGTTTTGGTGAACAAAACCACACATACTTTGAGTGAAACTATGAGATAAGGGCAGTTTAAAGTAATAAATAATAGGCAAATAAGTTAAAAACAACATGAGAAATAATAAATAGCACTTTGCTTGCCAAACCAGGGTGAGGTTGGGGTTGAACACTGACCAGCGGGCATTAGAGCATGACCAGGGAGAAATGGAGCCAGTGGCTGGTGCTTCCGCTTCCATCCTCCCTGCAGGCTCTGCCTGTGGATGTGTGATGTGTGCCGTCTGCCAGCTCCGCAAAGGTTCTGGCTCCACCAGAGAGGAACATAACAGATGAGGGTTTCCCACTGTCCCTGGACACGATGTTCAGTCCTGCGCTGCTGTTAGGATATCGGATGCATTTGATCCCTACGCTTAAAGCACCAGTTTAGCCAAAAATCAAATTTGCAGTTTTCCTTACACCCCGATCGCAGTCAGTCTTCCAAGACATGCAGGTAGGAAGCCATGAGAACAATGTTGAAATAGGCTTTCTTTGCACATCCTTACAGTGTTATCTATTTAAAAATGAATATTGAAATATTGTGCATAGCTAAAAACAGTAGTAACAGCAATATTGAAACATTGCAGTCCATCCTTTTCTATTTTTCTAGACAAATACACCGAACACGTTTTGACTGGTCAGCTATGTTTGGAGGGAAATAGTCAAAATTAGATTTTTAAAAAATATATAACCACTTTAACTAGGGGTGTAACGCTATGTTTCAGTTTCGATATAATTTTAGATTCTGAGGAGAAAATGTAGTTTTATTTTTTGATATTTCAAAGAATATTCAGTGTTCATATTTAATATTCAGAGCTGAAGTTTTATATTTGATAGTTTGGTTTGGCTCAGATACATAGACGCTGTCAGTGTACCTTGTTTGACATCTGCCGCACCACCATCTCACAAAATACACCTAAAAACATCACAACCCCTAAAATTTATAAGTGCCTTCAAAAAAAAAAAAAAGAGTCAGTTGAACACGTTGATAAAGCCCCGCCCAGTTCCCAGCCCATTCTACTCTGATAGGACGCACCCACCTGCATAGTTTTGATCACTAACAGTGTTTTCCACAAACTCTGGTAAATGAGAGATGCTCTGAAGAGAGCTTTAAACCTCAGCGTGGCCTTTCCTTTTCTCAAACTAATGGTGTAAACCGTCCCTCAGCACCCTCCTGACTCCATCTGTCTGCTCTGGCATCGACCCGGCATCCCTGCTGTCCAACAGGCAGATGGGATTGTCCGGTTAAGCACTGAAAACGGCCGACCGCACTGTGTACGTGAGGAAAATTATTACGTGAGCAGTGTAAAAGAATACAGATCTGAGTAAATTAACTGGACATTTTATATAAACTAATAGCATCGCATAGTGTAAGTAAGCACACTATTACAGTGGCACAATAGTAGATGTGACTTTATTAGCCTCAAAGAATTTGCCAAGGGTTCAACTGAAGATGCTTGGCTGATATGTGGGTTAATTCTACCTGACTCTCATTTCTGTACTGAAAAAAACATTTAACAAACATTTTTCGTTCTAGTTTGAGCAGAACAACTACGGCATTCAGACCAAATAGGAACCTGGCAAGTCTGTGACTTCCAAGTAGAAAAAATCCATTTGAACAGCCACCCAGTTCATAATCCCCTCTCGGAAAGTTGGAGTTTCTCAGGAGAGTCTTGTGACTTCACTTCAACATGGATGCCATAGCAGTGTGTTTTAAGCTTATTAGCCAGACCTTCAAGTCTTTGTTTTATTCAGAACCATTGGTCAACAGAGGAATTAGACCTCTGCATTTAACCCATCCGTGCAGTGAAACACCCACATACATGTACACTAGCAAACTTACACACTAGGGGACAGTGAGCACACCTGCCCGGAGCGGTGGGCAGCCCTATCCACAGCACCCAGGGAGCAGTTGGGGGTTAGGTGCCTTGCTCAAGGGCACTTCAGTCATGTCCTGTTGGCTCAGGGGATCAAACCGGCGACCTTCCGGTCACAAGGCTGGTTCCCGAAACTTGAGCTCACAACTGGCCACTGTACTTGTATATGATACTGTTAAATGTAAAGAAAAACTTCAACAACTGCAGAATTAAGTCTTTTTTAATCAAACCTCAAGGCACTGATACAACTTCTGTTGCTTGAGGTGGCAAGTAAGAACCTCTGAGTTTGTCCAAGTCCAAGTTCCCAGTTGCCATTACGTCCAGCTTTGAGTAGAACTAAGACTTGCAGTGCCAAGATCTTAACCTAAAGTGAGCAGATAAATACTGCAGGCTGAGTAAACAGATTGAATCAAACTCCCTCTTGCCTTGTGTTTTGTGGTGTTTAGAGAAGGAAGCCAGTATTTGGGATCTGGAGGAGAAGAACCTGCACGAGAGATGGCAGCTGATGAAGCAGCAGCTCAAAGACCAGTACTTCCTCCAGAGACACCAGCTGCTTAAGAAACATGAGAAGGTATCTGGTTTGGTCACCACAGTTTAACCTGCAGATTCTCTTTGAGGTTAAACACTAAAAGCAATGTTTGACCGAAAAACATAAGTGAGTTCAAGGAAAAGTTTAGCATGACCCCACATGCAGTGCCTCAGTCAAGGAGCGTCTGGTGTCCAACGTTTGCTGCTTTGGTTTTGCACTGGAATGACGAGGCTAGTAAGTAAAGGAAGCTCAGGTACATCAATTAGCTCTGTCACATTGTCACACTAGAGCTGCCACATTGTGCATTATAAGCTCTCCCAGTTCATTTTTAACCAGCGAACTGTCTCCTCCTTATTTCTAATGTCTCTGTTTAAAACATAATGATTGGTATTAATTTGATACTCATGTAAATGATGGTTTAATGTGCGTTTATAGGAGCAGGAGCACATGCAGTGTTATAATCAGCGAATGATTGAGCTGCTTAAGGCTCGGCAGCAGCAAGAGAAGAACCGCCTGCCGAAGATCCAGCGCAGCGAGGCCAAAACTCGCATGGCGATGTTCAAGAAGAGCCTGAGGATAAACTCCACCGGCAGCGGAGCGGACAACCGCGAGAAGATCAAACAGGTGGAGCCGCGCTTTACCTCTAATCCAAGCTTTAGTAATCGCTCAGTATATGGGAGTCCAATGTATCAGTAGTGCCAAGTTGATATCAAAATCAAAGAAAAAAATTATCTATTTATTTATTTATTAATTTTTTAAATTTTACTAGTATTGGTATCAACTTCCAATAGTGAGTGTGTTTACATGCACTCAATAATCCGACCATAATCTGATTTCTGTAGGTATCTGATTATTCAAATGGTCATGTAAACAGCACACTCTGATTTCTTAGATCAGAGTAAGGTCTAGAAATCTGATTAAGAAATCCGATAAAGAGAGCTGGATTTTAGCTCAGTAATCAGATTTCTCAGTGCATCTGAACTCTTACTCTGATTTCTTTCGGATTTCTCAGTCTGCGCATGTGCAAAACAGACCACGGTACCGGAAATAAGTAAGCAGTGTTGCCGTGAGACGCAGCAAAACACTTTTGGAGCGACGCTAAAACAAACTATAGGCTTAACAAAATGAAGGATTTAAATATTCTTCATGTTCTAGATGATGCATGTTCATATTTTTTTTATGTTTAAAAGCAGCTTGAAGTTTGAGTTTTACATTACGTTTACATCACGTCTTCTTCTGTGAGTTTATTGGCTGGTTGTGAGCAGAAATCCGATTACTGTCTGACTTATGTAAACCCGGATTATTAAGTGCATGTAAACACACTTATTTTGGTGGTGTGACAACTACAGTTCAGTAGTGTAGACCTGCAACTAATGGTTGTTTCTATGATGAATGAATCCATCAAATTTATTCTATTAATCAGCTAATCTAAAAATACTTTCTTGTGTTCCTCTACTTTTCTCTCAAGTTCCATCTATGCAACAATTTATGTATTATATTTTTATTTAATGTTTATTTAATAGCAACAGATATACTTACCAAGCACTTTATTAGGAACACCTCCGTGTCTCTACACTCATTGTCCATTTGATCATCTCTACCTACCATATAAGAACACTTTATAGGATCCACTCAGACCAGCGCAACACATACAAACATGCCGCCACCACCACATCAGTGTCACTGCAGTGCTGAGAATGACCCACCACCCAAATAATACCGGCTCTATGGTGGTCCTGTGGGGGTCCTGACCATTGAACAACAGGGTATAAGGGGGACTACAGGTCTGTAACTGTAGAACTACAAAGTGCACCTATATAGTAAGTGGAGCTGATAAAATGGGCAATGAGCGTAGAAACAAGGAGGTGTTCCTAATAAAGTGCTTGGCGAGTGTACATAAGCATAGAAAATTACAAAGAATTGTCTACCGGATATGATAACAATTATAACGATATGCTCATTTGCAATATTTGTCCCTAGATGGGTCTTTAGTAAACTCCATTCCTTCAATAGGTCACAGAAATTACATAGCAGTGTCTTATTTTATGGTATAGTGAAACAAGAAGCTGTATCGGCCCCTACGTTTCCTGTAGTGAACTGCAGTCTGTCTGAATGGAGTGTTGATGCTGTTGTTTGTGTGTATTTTCTAAGAGATGATTAAAGGCTAATCGATTTTGATGACTAATCATTGCATCTTTCTAGTAGTGTGAAAGTTATTTGTTTGTGTGTGTGTAGTTTCAGAGGCAGGAGGAGAAGAGGCAGAAGGCTGAGCGTCTGCACCAGCAGCAGAAACATGAGAACCAGATGAGAGAGATGGTGGGGCAGTGTGAGAGCAACATCAGAGAACTCCAGCAACTACAGGTACAACACACACACACACACACACACACACACACAGTATAACCATAGAAATGGGTGCAGACCTAACATAACTCTGAAAATGAGTGTAGTGTAACCATGGACATGAGTGTACAGTCACCATGAAAACGGGTGTGTATAGATGGATGTGTGTATAGACCTAACGCAACAAGGGATTGAAAAGAGTAAATATAAATTTATTATAGTAAAAGACAGAAATAAAAATATTATTGAAACAATGCAGAAAAATTAGGAAATTTTAAGACGATTAACAAATCAAAAAAGTTAAATAAAATTATTAGGCACATTAGTAATATAAATAAATAAAACAACCAAGCAGAGTAAGAAGAAAAGATAAAATGAAACAATACTAAAAAATAATAGTAATGATAAAGTAGTAAAATAAAAAAAAAAATTCAAATAAATGGCAGCAATGAAAAATGATAATAACAATGCAAATAATAAATCCAATCAGACAACTACAAAATCTATATAAAAACCCAAAACTAAATCAACAGATGCAGGCTGAGGTGGTCAGAGATTAAAAGTTAAAAATGTTCGAGTGACACCAGTAAGTGGACCTAGCGTGACCTTGTAAATGAGTATGAATGACTTGAAAGACGTCTCAGAAAAACGGGAATAAATTCAGGTTTATGCTTATTTTACAGTCTACTTCTATAAACCGATCAGGCGTAACATTAAGACCACCTCTTTGTTTCTACGCTCATTGTCCATTTTATCAGCTCCACTTACTATATAGGTGCACTTTGTAGTTCTACAGTTACAGACTGTAGTCCATCTGTTTCTCTGCATACTTTGTTAGCCCCCTTTTACCCTGTTCTTCAGTGGACAGGACCCCCATGGACCCTCACAGAGCAGGTACTATTTGAGAATGATCCACCACCCAAATAGTACCTGCTCTGTGAGGGTCCATGGGGGTCCTGACCACTGAAGAACAGGGTAAAAGGGGGCTGAGAAAGTATTAAAGATTTTTCAGTTGAGGTTTCCTGATGTCAGGAGAGAAATACACACCAACTGAATAACTGTTCAGATATTGGTATCAGTGAAGAGATCAGCAGCAGAAATGCTTGATTTAAAATCGTGATTTGGTTTCTGTCACTATGACAGTGTTATCTTGGTCTAGAATGCCAAGTTATTGGTCAAACTCTGTATGACCTTTCCAATTCTTTTCCTGCAGAATGAGAAATGTCACCTGCTGGTGGAAAACGAGACGCAGAGACTGAAGTCACTGGATGAACATCACAACCAGCTCATTCGAGACTGGAGAGAGCAGCTCAAACCCAGGAAGAAGGTGTGTATTTAATGTATATTATTTCCACAACAGTTAGTTTCTGACCACACTGTCCAGTTGTGGTGAAACGTCCTACTCGTGTTTATCTGATAACAGCACATTTTTTCCATCATACCTGTAATACTCTGGCCCTCATTTTTGGCCAAACATTTTCACTGACATTTCAGTGCATTCCTACTTACTTAGACATCAGTCCACCAAAGACTCAGAGCAATAAAGCTGTTTGTGTCCCTCAGGCTCTGGAGGACGAGCTGAATCAGAAGAAGCGAGAGCAAGAGATATTCTTTAAGATGAGTGAAGACGTGGAGTGGCAAAACCCCACCTCCCCCAACAAAGTCACCAAATTCCTGCCTTACTCCGACTCCTCCACCACATAAAAATCCTCCCAGTCCCCAGATTCGCACTTTCTCACCGCTCAGCATCGTCCAGCACAGCCTGCCAGCCCCAACACAGGCTAGCTTTGCTCTGCGTTAAAGTTCAAATGTAGTTTTCACAGCAGCCCAAATAATGTTGGATGATCAGCCAAGACATGTTTGGTGTCTGAAGTTCGCTTCTTTAGTTTTGCACTGTAGTAAACAAGTAATAGAGGTTTATAACCCACCAATCAGCATCATGCAGACTGCATGCTGAAATCACTGCGCACTCGCCTCAGACCGTGTCCATGTTTTTAAGCAAACTTAATAGACTTGTTATGTGGTTTGTCTGCATGCTAAGTGTTTTATACAGCGTAGAAACCACATTAGCAAGTCTATTTGAGATTACTTGACAACTCAACACAGTTAGGCTATGTTCACAATACAAGCCTCATTGCTTAAATCAGATTTTTGCTCAAATCCGATCTCTCTGACACGATGGTTCACGCTCGTTTAGGTAAGTGACTCAAATCTGTCATTAATGTGAACGAACCGGCGTCCTGAAATGACCCTCATGCGCACATCCTACTCAGTAACGTCACGTGAATGAATCACGTGAATCATCAGCAAACAGACTAACGAGCAGAACGAGCTTCACTGAGAAGATAATTAACTCTGATCAGCTCTCAGCTTCATTATTAGAGCGAGACGAAGGAGAAAAAGGTGAGATGAGCTGCTTTTCCACCGTTTACAGGCTTTAACTTCTGTTCGGCGCTGCTGCCATGGTAACGCTGAATGATGGCACACATACAGTGGAAAAAAGCACATGAATTCAGATCTGAGCGTCATGTTAAGGTCGCAAGGCCACGAATTGGATACATATCCAATCTAGGACCACATGTGAAAGTAGCTCAGGTCGGATTTGAAAAGATCAGATTTACGTGTCCACACAGCCCTGAAAACATCAGATCTGAGTCACATTAGGGCAAAAAATCTGATTTGTGCCACTTTAACCTGGTAATGTGAATGTAGCTTTAGAGGAAAGTGTGTGATAATTGAGGCATGTGGTTTGCAAACTGGTGGGTTATAAGCTTCCAATACCTTTCAGCTCATTAGCCTTGTAGCACCAGCGTTAAACTAAAGAAGCACACTTTTTTTTGTTTTGATTTTTCTTTGCCTAACTCACTTTCTTTGTCACTTTGTCCTCACTTGGTGCAGCCGGATCACCTTTCAAAACGGTGAATATCTGGGTCTCTTTACAGGCGCTATTGTGGCATTTTATGCCTAGTTTTGTATGACTATCAAGCGGAGACACATTACAAAGCCTTAACACGCCATATGGCTTCAGCATCTGCTGATACCAAGAGATTTGTTAAAGCCTTAAGCCACTTTAACTATATTTTCACACCAAAGCCAGTGATGAAATCAGGCTCAATTACATACATTTACTTTCTTCTTTTTAACGTGAGATGTTTGTTTACCTTCAGCATACCGACCCAGCCAATAATGAAATATAATACTCAGTAGTCGAAATTAAGTCTCAGTTTAGTGAACTTCAAACTTCAAACATTAACACACGTCATTATAAGGCTTTGCTTTTCTATCCTAATTAAGTCCTAATCCAAACCCAAACCCTTAGCTAATATGTGCCTTAGTTCAAAAGCATTGTTGTGTACAATGAGTAAAATTAGTGATGCCAAATATGTTGTACATAAAAGAAGCATTTATACTTATTTTTATTTTTTTTTACTATTATTTTAAGAATGACTATATATGCAACAAAGATAAGTCTTTTTGTCGCTTTAATTTCTGGCAGTTATAATAATATAATCAGTATCGAATGTGTACAAATGTTATGCTGAGACAGTTTTGACGTTGAAGCTTATGGTGAGAAATCTAAAAAGGTTAGTTGGTACATTTAAGTTGTTCCTATTTTACGGTTTGTATTTATCTTTATTGTATTATTTTTCTTGTTAGAAGTTAATATCTTATCATTTTATATTTGTCACCAAAAATGTGAGTCTGAATCGGTCATGGAGTTGTGGCAACATTACTGTAAAGCAAAACACTGGATGTTCAGACCTGGTAAAGCCAAAAAGGAAATCCCAGAATATTCTTGGCTTCTTTGAAAGACCAAGTATTGAAGGTTGTTGCTGTGAGGGGGGGAAAAAACCTTAAGCTTTTTCAGGTTTATTAGACGTTTCGGGCAGTATGTAAGTAAATCAACTCCAAATTCATTCACGCAAGTGTACATTTACACATTTATCACACTGAGAAAACATGATGCAGTGCGATGAATACAGTGAAACGCTTTGTTGATCAGGGCGAACATTTTTTTTCCCCAATTCATTAACCAGCGATTGGGACTTGCCTATTGAACTAAATGTGGAATTCATGTAAAATAATATGTACTTTCAGATGTAAACCAGGAGAAATAACAGGAGTATTACTTTTTCATTTAGTCTTCCTTTCGAAGGTTCTTATCGAACAGCAGTGATAACAGTGAGAATGAGAAATAATGAGAAGTGTGTTATGTTTATTTTTTCATTATTATGCTGCCTCTCAGAGCACTGACACCTGACTTAAGTGCAATATGTTTTCTTTCAGCCCTTTTAGTACTGATTCTGTTCGTGTTTTGCGACTGTCTTACTGCTTATCATTTATTCTCTCAGTTTGCAGTTTGTTTTACCATTTTTACTTTAGTTTTCTTAACTGGGTAGCAAAAATCAGGTACAGGAAGGCTTTGGTTTCCTTTGTAACACCACCCCCTTTTTTAACTCTTTCTGAAAATTGACTCTTTTTTTTTTTAAATTACTCATTTGACTGCACTGTTGTGACTGTGATTCTTCCTCCTTGGGACCTTTTTTTTTTTTTCTAACAAAAGGGTGTGTAAATGGATCTTTAACATTGTTGTACAGAAATCTAATAAATAAAGAATTTTATTATTTCATTTTTTGTCCCTTTTACTGAAATAGACCTGTTACCATCAATTATTAGTAGTCAAGTGATCTAACAGTAATTTTCATGCTAGATTTTGTTTCAAGGCTAAACAATAAAAATGGGTTTTACTGAACAATATATACATACTGCGCCATAATGTCCATCAGACTCTGTTTCTTACTGCAAAAGTCCAGTAGGCCAGTTTCAAATATGAATTATAAGGGTGTATGCAGGGATTGGCAAATTAAGTTTAATGTATTTTAAGTAATTTTTAATTATTCATTTTTTGCCATTTTGATAAATCTGTAATGACATCATGAACTTCACAGCTGCAGAGATTTTAAGCTGCACTATGTAAGTAAGTGGTGGGGATTTGGAGACCCCTCTGGTGGAACGGTGTAAATTGACACAACATATGGAAGAACACTTTCTAGCGAGGGTTGTGCCTCGGCCCCTTCCCCGAGCAGATGAATCTGTTGTGAGAATGTTGAAAGAGAATTTGTAGAGAACTCGGTCAAAACCTGGTGAAGGACGTGTTTTCTGAAGAGGTGAGTGAATTATCTACTGTCATCATATCTTCCTCAGTATAATGTTGATTTTGCAGCACCGTAGTTTAGCTTTTTTTCCTGACTCAGTAATGCTTCAACTTTAACAAAATACTTGCTTTGCATACCATAAAACAGCAGTGTGAACATTAGTACTTCTGAGTTTGTTTGTTAGCATCAATCTCACCGTGGTGTTTCCCAAAAACACAAGCAGCTAATAAGGATAACTACTGGGAAAACATTTCACTTTCAACACTACAGCAGTTGATTTCCTCAGTTCCCAAATCCTTAGAGTGTTGTTAAAAGAGGGGATGCAACATAGTAGTAAACATGCCCTGTCCCAACTTTAAAAAAAAAACAAAAAAAAACAAAAACCGTGTTGCTGACATCAAAATGGGCATATATTTTTAATAAAATTTCTCAGTTTCAATGTTGTCTTTGTACTATTTTCAACTAAATATAGGGGTTAAGTAATTAACACATTTCCAAAAAGAATTTGAAATTTTGATTCGTCAACCCACAGAACCCTTTTTTCACTTTGCCTCAAGCCATCTTAAATGAGCTCAGGCCCAGCGAAGGCGGAAGTGTTTCTGGATCCAGTTTATATTTCGTTCCTCTTTGCATGATTGTTGCTGCATCCACAAATGCAAGATAAAACTGTGTTCAAAGACGATGGTTTCTGGGAGTCTTCCTGAGCCCATGCAGTGATTTCCACTACAGAATCGTGTCTGTTTTTTTAAATGCAGTGCCGTCTGAGAAATTACATGTCACAGTTTCATTTGATATGTTTTCTTTGTACTATTTCCAATTAAATACAGGGTTTAAATGATTTGTACATCATTGCATTCTGTTTTTTTTTTTACATTTTGCACAGCGTCCCAGCTTTTTTGGAAACGGTTGTAGCAGATTCGAGAATGTGCAGTTTAATTACATAATGAGTAATCGATTTCAATCATCACAGCCCCATATCAAACACTGAACATACTTCATTTGAAATGTTTATTTGGGTTTTATTAGAAATAAGGAAATAAAATGGCACAGTTGACATTCCATCAACAATGCAAGTAGCGTACAGATTACAGAAGTGTGTGAATGAAAAGGTGCCTCCCCATGACCTCCTCTATCGAAATTTTCCACATTTATTAGCAGACTGACACACTTGTTCACAAAGTACATTGCTATCCAGATAAAGCACATCTTTAGTCGAATACTCAACAGAGCTGCAGCGTAATCTTCGTGCTGCTGCAAACAAGCATGTGTTCAACTGCATTTTGGGTTTCATTTTTTTAAAAGACTGTTACAGAGGAAAAACCTTGTAGCAACTAGGAGCTGTTGACCAACTTTTATACATGAAAATATGATTTTTTTTTTTTTTTAAACACTTCATCTTTCCTCAGCTTTCCCAGCCAGTAACAGCAAAAGTACAACGTAGATAGTTTTAAGCAACTTACAATAACTACAAAACTTCAAATGTAGTGTTAATAAAGGAACAAAATACCTATTCAAATGTATACTTGAAACCAGTCAAGCATGCATGTTAATTAAACATTAAAATGATTGTAAAACTGTAAAATACTGTATCTAAGCACCATCATCGGTGGCATGAACATGCCTTAGGGCAACACTGATTAAGAGCAGTGTGTATGGATGGTCTGAGGTATTGTGTCAAACTCCTTTTTCTTTTTTTATTTACACACTATAGAATCGGATCATTTGTTTATTAACATTTAAACAGTTGCCACTGTGTTAAACTGACTCTTAATTTCCGTTTATTTTTTTTTCCTCGTTTCATGTTTCATTTCACTCCGTTCTGTTCTCCTTTTCTCTTCAATGCCACAGTGATGAAATCTGTGAACTTCATCTCTAACAAAAGTGCAAGTTGAAGCATTGCAATAACCCAAAATTGGCTTTAAAAAGTGGATAAATAAGCAAAATAAGTTGTAAAAAGGCAGTACAAAAATTAGCATTAGCACTTTACAAAATGTTATTATATAAAGGTCTGCTGCATTATTATATGAGCACTTCAAAGCAGCTAATTTCTCCCATCGAAAGATTAATAAGCACTACCAAGCTGATGTGTCCTTTGTGACTTTAAAGGCTGATTTGGCTTGTGATTCATTTTTTTTTTGAGGCTCAAGCGCATCAACTCTATCTCTATTACTATTCAGATACCTTCACTGCTTTTTGAGTAGGTTGAGCTTTGATTTGGAGACGTTTCACTAATATGCATATGCTGTAAATAGGCTTGGAGAACTGCATTTTATATTGAGGCACATTAGCATTGGAGGCTGCAAGAAGTCTTAATTAATATATTGCTAGTTTTTTATATAGCACTAAATATAAAAATAGTATGAGCTTGGTTAACATGCATAGAACTAATGGGTTAGGAATGTGAGACATTCAGCGTTTTCTCCCAAAGAAGTGTCTCGGCGCCACACGTATATTCCACCCACGTCCCCAAGGGGACAGTCAAAAACTAGCAAGCGCAAACAAATGAATTTTGATCTGTCTGAACTTGCGAAAGAATGGAATGTAACAAGAGACTTCGACTAAAAGGTACCCATAAATAAGACTAATTAAATAGATACAGATAGGTTTAAAAAAAAAACAAAAAAAAACACAAGGGGTCTACGAGTACCTAGTGTTTTTTGGTCAGATAATTGGAAGGGATCCAGCCCTCAGACATTGACCCATCACTTACATTTTTACAAAACCACCAACCGGTGCTGTTCTTCTCAAGCACCTCAAACACAGCTCCCTCTTTAAAGCCAGGCGTTTGGTCATCTCCTTCAAAGTCCGCTACTGCCAGGAACAGCTCCTCTTTGGCTGGATCTTTGATTAGCGGTGGAAGTTTGTCTCTTGGAGGCCCAGGTTTATCAGCTTTAATCAGGGGTTTTGGCGGCACAGGCACTTTAGCCTTGGGCTCTTCCTTCTCCTTGTCTTTCAAGGCTGGAGGCTGGAAGGCCTTTGGCTTGGGTGGTGGTGGTCTGTTCTGAGGGGCTGCGGGCTTGGCTTCCTGAGCGTCATTCTGCGGCGGGGCTTTGGTTTCAGTGGGGCTGGCTGGCTCCGAGCTCTTTTTTGGTGGAGGGGGCCTTCTAGGTGCACCGCTGGGTCTCTGTGGAGGCTCTTTGTGGGCAGGCATTTGGGGTTTAGAAACCTCTGGCTGATCATGGCCATTCTGCTGCTTAGGTGGACATTTTTGTTCTTCGCTCGGTCTGCCATTATTAACAACATTATTTGAAGGACTGTTGGTGCCATTTTGCTGGCTAGACTCACCTGAACCTTGGCTAGGCTCAGGCGGTTTAGATGGACGTAGCTTGCTCCTCAGGTTGGTAATGTCCAACTCACTCTTGGCCTGGGATTCAGGTTTGACAGGAGGAGCCGGTTTGGGCCTTAGGACTGGTTTAGGCTTGAGGAAAGGTGCTGGACTGATGGACTCCGTCTTCTCTTCTTGGCTCTCAGGCTTGGGCTTTGGGGGTTGCTTTGGCACAGGCTTCAGGTTGAACTTCTTGACCTCCTTGACGGACACCTTGTGGCCACACTCCAAACCCATCTCATTGCGCAAGTGCAAAGGCTTGTTCTTCTCATCCTTTTTTGGCTCTGGAGGCTTGTCCGGTTTGAATGGAGCTGATTTGGGAGGCACTAAAGGCATGATGACCCCAGGTGCTGGAGGCTTGGGCGGAAGCGGTTTGGAACCATCTGGTTTGGGCTTTTCCTCTACTTCAAGGCTTTTGTTAATGGATTCTCTTCGGGGTGGCAGCGCTGGTTTCTCCTCAGCAGGAGGTGCAGAAGGAGCTGGAGGTAAAGGTCCAGAGAAAGGACCTGTGCTCTTTACAGCATTGGACTTCCAATCTCTCAGTTTGGGACGTGTGGCAAAGTCAGCACTAGAGGAGGGCTCGTCTGGCAGGGGTTTGGACCAGTTATCTTCTGTGCTGCTGTTATTGGGTGGACCATCCTCCAGCTTCAGCTGAGCCATCTCTCCAGGCAGCGGGGCTAAGAAATTAGGTCTGGAGGCACTGCTGGTCTTCTTGTATTTATCCAAGAAAGTTACAGGAGCCCAGCCTTCCTTCTCATCGATCTGAATGTACCACCAGCCACTGGAATTCTTCTCGATCACCTGGAAAAGCACAGCATGGATGAAGAAATGTCTTTTTTTTTCTTTTAAGGATGATTTTTTTCAGTCATACTTCATGACCACCTCTAGATTTCTGCCATATTCTCAACTAATTATTAAACTACCTGGTGAAATTGTCTGCAGGGTTAGGGTTGGGTTTCAGGTGTAGACTTTAGGTGGATGTAAAGGTGAGGGTTAGAGTGAGTGTTAGGTTTAGGTTTTAGGTTGAGATTAAGGTTAGGGTTAGAGTAAGTGTTAGAATTAGAGTTAGGGAAGGTTCAATTCAATAAATAATTAGGCCCAATCCCATTTCACCCCTCGCCCCTACCACTTAACTCTTCCCACTCATTCTCCTCTAGGGGTAGGGTGTCCCGATTTTTGTTGAGATAGAGGGGTAGGGTGAAGTGTTAGGGCTGCATGGCCCTCCAAACAAAGGTTTTTAAGAGGCACAGCCCAAACAGAGTGTTATGAGAAAAAAGAAAGAACGGCAAGATGGCTGCACAAACAACCAAAGTTGTTTAGTATGCTGGTTCTTGTTAGCTAGCTAGCTAACTTTCCTGTTCCACCTTAAATGGTTACATTCTGGCGCCTCAGACGTCCCAACTGCTGCACTATTTAAGGTGGAATGGGAAAAAGAAGCTGGTGAATATCTGACTTCAGCTTCATATCACCGAAGAATCAGGGGTGGGCAATAATAAATAACTGTCCCCCCCTTTTTGAAAGCATATGATGACCTAAATGTAACTAAAGCCCAGCAGTGAGGAGCTGAACTTTACCCTCCTCTGCTGTCACTGCAGACTGGCAGGGTCGCCTACAGAGCAGCGCTGGTAGCTGTTAATGAAGTAATGCTCTTTTTATTTCAGGGTCCCATTTCATAGGGTAGATTTCAACCACTACCCCTTGTAACTCAGTTCTAAGAGGCAAGATGACACTCAAAAACAAGGGGCAGGGGTAAAAATGAGAAATGGGACTGGGCCTTAGTTTAATGTAAGTAAAAGATGAGCATCTAAAAAGCATCTACAGTGGTTAATCAAAATGAAGTGTTAAGTCTGGGTAACCTTCCATTCATGGATTAAGCCTCGTCCTGGATTAAATTGCTAAGACAAACGCGTTTCACTATAAAGGTTCTAGGTTTAACTAGACCTGGGAAATCAACCCTTTGCAAGTTATAACCCTTTTTGTTCAGTAACTTGCACTGACTATCTCACCTCGACTTTTACTCCTGCCTGGAAGCTGATGCCATCAGGGATGGTTGTCTGGAAGTCAGCGATGGTGTAGTACTCTTCTTCCACCTGTGGAGGCACTGGAGGCTTGGGCAAGTTCACTCCTCTAGGCTAAGGGAAGATTGTTAGATGACCAGAAAGAAAGCAAGACACATTGTTAGAGCTTCAAAATCTTGAATAAAAACCCAAGTGGCACTGGCGACTTAAAAGTGACAGTTTAGCCAAAATTCTAATTCACACAACTGTCCCAGTGTAGTCGTTTCATGTCCCAGTGTAGTCGTTTCATGTCTCAGTGTAGTCGTTACGTGTCCAAGTGCTTATTTAATACTGTACTGAAGCTATCAGGCTAACGTGGCTAAGAATGGAAGCTTCATGACACTGTATACCATACTGTTATTGATAAAAACGGGCAAAAGTCGCACAGCTAAAACAGTCGCAGCAGCCGTCTTGAAGCCTGAATTTTGGATATTTGAATTTTTGAATGTCTGTATGTTTGTCAGGGCGGCGCGGTGGGTAGCGCTGTCGCCTCACAGCAAGAAGGGCCTGGGTTCGATTCCCCCTGGCCGGGCGACCAGAGTCCTTTCTGTGTGGAGTTTGCATGTTCTCCTCGTGTCTGCATGGGTTTCCTCCAGGTGCTCCGGTTTCCCTCCACGGTCCAAAGACATGCAGTCAGGCCAACTGGACATGCTAGACTGCCCCTAGGTGTGAATGTGTATGTCTGTCTGTCTTCCCTGTGATGGACCGGCGACCTGTCCAGGGTGTATCCTGCCTTCCGTCCAATGACAGCTGGGATAGGCTCCAGCTCCCCCCGCAACCCAGAAAGATAAGCGGCTTAGAAGATGTGTGTGTGTTTGTCCCGTTTTATAGATAACTGGATGCCATACACTGTCAGATATATGAGGAATTACCACATAAGTAAGTCTGTTTGAGATTACTTGGCAAAATGATGTGCTTTGAGGCAAGTATGTGATGATTTAGGCTAGCAGGTTGCACAATGTTATTTGGGGGAAGGGGTTCCATTACTTCTTTGCTATATTTATGGGAAAATGTGCAATTTTTTTTTTTTGGTGAACTGACACTTTAATAAAAACAGCATTCTTACTATTGTTAGATCGCGGCGTGGAGGAGGTCTCTGTCGCGCCCCACCTTCTGTGAAACAAGAAATACCTCATATCAGTCTTCAGTTCTCATATGAAAGCATTTACATATTCCAAGAGTTTGGTACTCAGGGAGTTTTTGATGAAAACTGTACTCAAATTGAGCTTTTCTAAAATAAGAAGGTAGAATATGAAATTATCAAATCCAAAGTGACCATTTTATGAGTCATGGTCAAAGTATGTGCCCTTTAATTGCTTGTTTCACAAACTCATACTAAACCCCTCGAGCCCTAGGCTTATTAATCAGTTATTAATCTTAAGGCTAATTGTTCAGCAATTACTACAAATTATTCAATAACTACTTTGAAAATATTATATATCGCTGCTATTGGAAGAAAGCCTTGTGTCTCCAGTTTTGATGTTTTTCAGTTTTTGATATAATTTGAAAATGCCCCTTGTCCTTTACATTGTGTGTAAATTTCATGATGAATGGACCAAAAGAAACGTCCCAAAGTGACTTGGAAAAAAGTCTGGTTCCATTGACTTACATTAAAAGTACAGTAGGTTTTTTCCTTCTCCTGTAAAATGACCATTTTGGAGATGCAAGGTTTTCTTCCGAGATGGTTTTGAGCTCGTTATGAGAGCAAGTAAATGGTTTAATATGAGTAATACGAATGAGTACCAAGCACAGTTCATCCCTGCTCTCGGAATGGAATGTTTTATATTTCTTAGATAACAGGAATATTTCGGAGGACACTCCTGCATGACGCATTCTTCTGAAATGAGCTTACTGCGCTTGCTGTCTGAAAATGGAGCAAAGCGCTCTCTCTGGTTTTCCTTGTTCTCTTTGCTCGCGTTCTGCTGCCTGCAGACTCCCTCCAGGTCGTTGGTGCTGGCATGAGCCGCAGCTCCAGCGGCCATTTTCTGGCTCAGGATGTCGGCCTTTTTCAGATAGGACGCTGGGGCCCAGCCCTCTCGACCTTGGTACCTACAGAGGACGTAATGCTCAGTGTTCATTTTTACACAATGTTTGATTTACTCTGTTTAATCTGTTTAATGTCTTTTAAAATATAGGCATGATGATCTTAATGATGATCTTTACTGACAGATTGTTCAATATGTTCATATTGTTAGTCTGTTTTAAGCTGCCACAAACTATACAGGCAACAAAGAACATTTTAGTTGATGAAAGTGTGCAAACATTGAACTGTAAGACAGCAAACTACCAACAAATTACAGACATAATGTTTATATTGTTTTTGCAAAGCTATAATTATTTTTATATTTTTTTATATTTAATATTTCAACTGTTACAGCAGTCTTCACAGACATCAGAGACACAATGAAAGAAAACTCACCATATACAGCGATGATCTTAAAGCTACACTATGTAAGTGTTGGGGATTTGGAGACATCTCTGGTGCAAATGTGTAATTGCGTGCAATGTGCAGAAGAGCATTTTGTAATACTGTTTAAAATCTGATGATCTAATCTGCTGATTGTGAGCGAGTTGAAAGACTATTCAAAGAGAACTCAGTCAAAACTTGGTGAAGAACGTGTCTTCCGAGGATGTGAGTGAATTATCTACTACTGTCATCAAATCTTCAATAGTATAATGTTGCATTTGAGACCTAAGCATCGAGTCTGACCTTCTTATGTGTGCATGAGACGTTAAAACATAAAAATTCTTCGAAAAGTCTTGCGATATATAACCCAACATTTCTTATTATTTCAGGGGGCTTGCAGCAGCACATGCACACCATATTTTAGTGTGTTTTGTTTTCTCTCTAACAGGAAAATACCAAAAATAGGTGAAAATAATACGTTATATTTTAGGTATATTCTGGGAATATATACTACACTGTTTGGAATTTTTAACCCAATTTTTCCCTCAAATTTTGTGATGGCCAGTTCCAGTCCACTAGGTAGGCACCCCCCCCCCATCACGCAGTGCTACCAAGCTGGGAGGGTGAAGGATGGCACATGCTCTCTCTGAGACATGTGAAGAGCCACTGCATCTTTTCAAACTGCTGCTACTGCAACATCATTGGACAGTTCAACACGCCTGGAGGACAAAAACAACTGCCAATTCTGTTACGTCGGCTAACAGATGCCATGTTGGCAACATGCTGAGTGATGGGGGACAGGGAGGACCATCGTACCCACCCAGAGAAAGAGAGGACAGTTATGCTGCCTTGGGTAGATTAATGGTTTTTATGTCGAAATCGCAATTTGAAGAGCTGCATTTTTTTATTATAGTCTTACAGTCTATTAACATCATTATGATATGATGCAAGTGTTAAGTAGGGAGATTTTACCTAATAACATGGAGCTTGTGAACGGCTGTGACATCACAATCACAAATAACTGGCAGGCTGGCGCAGTGTGTTCACAGTTCAAGTCTCAAGCCGGAAAAAATACATCGCTGCCGTCGGGACAAAACCTCATATCTCCATTTTTGGCATTTTTTCAGTTTTTGACATAATTTGAAAATGCCTGTTCCCTTTACATTGTATACAAATTTCATGATGAATAAACCAAAATAAATGGCAAAAAAAAGACTTGGAAAAAAGTCTGGTTCCATTGACTTACAAAGAAAGTGAAGAAGGTTTTTTCCTTCTCCTGTAAATTTACCATTTTGGAGATACGAGGTTTTGTTCCGACAGCAGCAATATGCTGGTCTTCTTAGCCAAAAAAAGCCCATACCCCAATTTATGCTTCAATTATAAACAACTGCAATTTAAATCGTAATCGTACTTTTGGTCAGAAAAATCGCAATTAGATACTTTGCCAAAATCGTTCGACTCCCGGCCACGGGCAGCTGTGGCATCGCCGGGGATAGAGCTTGGAGTCTCCCAGCAATACAGCCAACACTTCCAGGGTTGAGCCAGAACAGCACTTTTGCCTTTGATTTTCCACATTAGTTAAAGTGGCTGTATTTCTGCCTGTATTCTTACCTGATCTTCCACCAGCCCTCCAAATTTTTCTGGATGACCTCGACGGTCATGCCCTTCTCCAAATCGATTTCGTCTTGATCACGAGCCGCGTAAGGGTAGATCACTGTGTACTTCTCTTCTGCAGAGTTAAAAGAAAAGCAGCATTAACCTACAACTTTTGGCTCAGCTAACATGGACAAAAACTCCCAACATTACAGCACATTTATCATTTTTTCTGCTGCTGTTTTGGGTTCGTTCCAGTTTGGGAATAAAGCACCACTTTCCCTACAGCATTTCACATCGCCAACAATTTTGTCTAACAAAGAGTTTATTGATTGTGTTCCTTTTAGCCGTCTATGGGGAAAATCGCGGTGGAGAACATTTGCCTGATTCCTGTTGTATTTTGCTCTTGGCAGCGTATCACTGGCATTACACGACTGCTTTGGGATTTCGGCTCGTACAGTGTTTGTCGGCAAGGTCGCTGAGCTGATTTCATTATGGATTCACCAGCTCTGTAATGATGGCATCACTCTGTCTGTCTGAATTACACAAGAACCATTTCCAAGAACCAAGAGGGAGGAGTTATACGCTAAACAGGCTAACGATGCATGATCTAAACTTGGATGATGATGTAATGATGTAATGAGCAACTGAAGGTCAGACTCATTGTTTTGTCTACACATATCACCAGTGTCAGAAGAAAACCTTGTAACTTGTATTTTTATTTATTTATTTATTTTATATAATGTTTTTTTTTTAACACTAATACATGTTAAGGACATTTTTCCTTTTCCTATAAACTTATAAAGTTGTCTCACGACAGCAACGATATGGTGTCCAAAGCTTAAAGCCGGTTATCTGGGAAAGCTGAAGCTGAGTGGGTGTTTTTAGTTCAACGGCAAATATACTGTGTATTAAAGAAAGAAACAAACAGAACTGCAGAATTAGCCCTTAAGGATACTGTCCGTCAGTTTCAGTAAATCACGCCCCAAATGTGCTCATACTTATTTTTTATATTCCAGCTTAGCACCTAAATATAGACTACTGTGTTGAGTTTGCCGTCCAAGAATAGTGATCCTGGAGATTTAGCCTCTTAATAACCTCCAATAAACTACAACGGCGTTTTAGGGCCACTGTTGATAAAAATAAAAGTTGTAACATTTCGAGAAAAAAGTCGTAATATTTTGAGAAAAAAGTTGTAATATTTCGAGAAAAAAGTCATAATATTTCAAGAAAAAAATCGTAATATTTTGAGAAAAAAGTCGTAATATTTTGAGAAAAAAGTTGTAATATTTAGAGCAAAAAAGTTGTAATATTTCAAGAAAAAAGTCGTAATATTTCAAGAAAAAAGTTGTAATATTTTGAGAAAATAGTCTAAATTAATACCAGGAAAGGGTGCAATATTGTGGCCAAAGGCTTTGCAAAGGGAAGGCAGCACCTCCTCGTGATAAAAGAGGGGCGGTGAGTCGGTGGAGTTATACTTTCATATCGATTCACCCATAAAGAAACACTCAGTCTCCCTGTCTCTCCTGCTCATCAGCACCAGCCTGTTATTAGTCTAAGAACCGGCTGAAACGGCTGAGCAGGAAACTTTATCTAGAATAAAGAGCCAGACGGGCTCGGAGGAAACTGTCTGTCTGTTTTATTGAAGGAGAACCGCAGGCAGGGTTGTCTACACGGCTATCAGTGGCTACATCTCCACACTTTCAAAGTTTCGCAGACAGTGAGAATGATGATCAAACTGATCCGCAAGTAGACAGGAGTGAGTGGTGCTCCGGAGCCAATACAGCAACCGAGACCCCAACGCATTATGGCAGCCCCCTACAGGTAGCCCACTTTATCCTCCAAATATTACAACTTTTTTCTTGAAATATTACGACTTTTCTCTCAAAGTCTACTATTTTTATTTGTATTAACAGAGGCCCTAAAACACCGTCGTAATAAACACACCAGAATCAGCTAATTAAGGTACTCTGAATGTCAGAGCCAGTGTGTTAGGTTAGAGTTGGGCATCCCTACGTTAGGAAATTAAATGCTTTTTTAATTATGGAGATTAAAAATAAGCACAAAGGAGAAAGAATGTAATAGGAATGCTAGAATACTATCGAATGTTAAAGGACAGTCTGCAGTTGTGATTCTGGTGACTGTAGTATTATTAATGTGGTACATTATTTAGCATGGCATGATTATTACGAGGACAATGCTCAGCCTTTAGGGACAGTAGTTCCGGTTGTAGCTGTCCCTCACAAATAGCAGTCATATTGTTTTAGAACATCCGAGTTTGACATTTCAAATCCGATGATTTGGTTTAACACAGGGGAACCACAAGAAACTGAGTTGAAAACATGGAACAAACATGCAGCATCCAACAACACTGGACCAAAGAGGTTCTGAAGACAAGGAATTTAGCAACTGTAACTACAGAATGTGCTAATTCTAAACACATACTAGGTTTTAATCTGTTCAGTGCTAAATCAGCTCAACCTGTTTTAGTGGTGTCACTTTGAATTTTATAGCCCTGGGGGCTTTTGTGATCTAATTGACCGACCCATGCTCCACCTACAAATGTGTTCTTTCACCACTACTGCTGCAGCGTTGGACAAGATTTACAGAATAATGGCAAAAACACCATTCAACCTAATGAGAAATGAGGTTATGAAAACTGTAAATAAGTAACATGAACTATCAGAAAAGTAGACGGGTTTCCATTTAAACCATCAAGATAATTTTGCAAAAATAGTGTGAAAAATACTGCGTTTATATATGTTTCTGTTTTTCATTCTTTTAAGCAAAATGGGCAGATTTAAGAAACGTTTAATGTTGGGCAACTGGCACGTTGCTGTTATGGCTATATTTTATATCATGAAAGTGTGGATAGAGAACTGCCTGTCCTGTTTGCTCATGAAATATGAGTTAATCAGCAGTAGGCACCTCATATCTGGGGGTGATCATACATTACACTGGTATTTACTGTCTAATATCAGCAATATGTTTATTTCTTTAATAATGGCACATTAGCCTTCTGCCTTGGTTTGTAGCTTCTGCCACAAAAGAACAGAAGCACTTGGTTGGTCATATAACTTCCATATTCTTTTTATTCTCTTTATTCTTTTTGCCAAAATATGTATAAAAAATATGAAAGCAAGTCTAGTGAATGCCAGCTTTCACACACGAATGGGCTGGAGGTTAGGGAACCAGCCTTGTGACCGGAAGGTCACCTCTTCGACCCCTTGAGCCATCAGTATGTAAGGCACCTAACCCCCAACTGCTCTCCGGGTGCTGTGGATAGGGCTGCCCACCTCTCCCGGCAAGTGTGCTCACTGCCCCCTAGTGTGCGTGTGTGTGTATGTGGGTGTTTTATTGCATGGATGGGTTAAATGCAGAGGTCAAATTCCTCTGTGTGCAAACACAGTTGGTCAATGGTTCTGAACTGAGCAAACAAAATATATCAAATTTGACATTAATAACACAATCTAAATGTATTTAGAGGAGCTGAGCTGAAATTCCTCATTATTTCGAATGAATGAATTGCCAAAATGAATTTTCACCAACATTCTGTAAAGCTTGTTGAACCTCAACAGTAGCTATGAAACAGCACATCTGTGAACTGAGCAAGGTAAGGTCAATTATCAGGGAAACTACTGAGGTGCAGAATATACTGAGACAGGGTCACAGCACCAAACTGCCCTGAAAGACGACATGCTGACAAGCATTCAGCTCCATGCTTCAGGTACTGGCATAGTCAGTTTCACACTCCATGCACTTCATGCAGCATTCAACGCATGCATGGGTGCCTCGTGCAGGACAGACACCGGACACTGGACATGACCAAAAGAGGAAGAAAAAGAGATGTGGTTCTCCACCTTGCCCAAAGCTTGTGCTGAACAGATCCCCTAAAGTGCGCCGGCGACCCACGTGCCTCGGCAGTGACCAGAATCTCCGGCACACTCCAGCAGGGGACAAGCACACACAGATGAGAACGAACGGTGACTTAAAAAGAAATTTGGTCAACTGGTTTTGAGGGGGCGACAGGTCCGTTTGCTAAGGATATCCTTACAGTGTAGCATTTATTAATATGTTACAAAATACTGCGATGTAATTTTGAACACATATGCATAGATCTGGATCATTTCACAAATATTCAGCTCAATCTGCTACATTTGGTGGGGCAGACATCTGCATAACACACCTTGTCACCATGATTCGCCAGAACAGTATTCCCATTTTTCCAAATTGAGCTTGCCAAGATTACCTAATGAGGGTTCAGCAGTGAATGCTGCACGTGGGGTTCCTATTCAGTTTGATTTGGCTAGAATAACAGGAGGATGATGATAAAGTGGATTTCAGTACCTTCCTCTGCTGGCAGAGAGAAATCATCCGGGTCATCCTGAGCCTCCAGGCAGGTCGCAGGCACCCAGCCTTGAGCGTCCTCTGAGCTCACAAACCACCAACCTGAAGAGAGGAACATGTATTACCTAGTTAAGACTGGAATGTACTATTTTGGCAGAATTCTCTCTTTAAGCCAGACCCCATTAGATTTTGGAGTTGACCAGTGGACCTTTAGAAGCATTCCTATTCAGTTCCATGCAGTCTTCAGACAAAATTAGGGATGTTCAATCTGATTACATCTGATATTTAAGTATCTGTAAATGAGTGTTAGGCTTTGGTCACATAGCAGGTAAAAGTGGCCCAAATCTGATCTTTTTCTTCAAATGTGACACAGATGTGTGTCAGTGTGAACAGCAAAAAATGCATTAAATCTGACACTTTCAATTCCGATCTGGGACACTTTCATATGTGGTACTGAAATCTGATACGTATCTGATGTGCAGCAATGCGTCTCAGTCTGAACTGCAAGATCGGAATTCATGTGACTTTCACGTCAATCGAACTTGCCCTAATTTCTCGCTGCTGAGACTCAAACATTTAGGCTGATGTTTCTGTACCAAAAAAATACAAGGAACTCTTAGATTAAAGAATCCGAGGACACAAACCAAAGAAATGACTCTGCCCTTTTCACGGCGAGCTCAAACACATTTTGGGTGATGTGCCCAGCTGTCAGTCAATGAAGCTTGTTCGCTCCTGTGATGCTAGCGAAGATGAAACTGAGCGGACTGGTGTTCGTTGGCAGTCAGGATTGTTTACCTCTGGATGAGCCACGTGAAGCAATGTTCTTTTGCACATACAGGTTAGTTTAGGAGCTGATCTGTTCAGACTAATGTCGCAGGTCACAAACAAAAAAAAAGATTTGGTGAGAAAATCAGATTTAGGCCACTTTTGCTGTGTAAACTTAGATGGTGTGGGGAAGGAGTTGCATCTTCGACACAAGGTTTTTTTTCTTCAACATGGTAGGTTGTCAAGCTAACATTAAGAAAGAGAAATATCTTTTCACTGTTTCTAGTTCTGTGGTGGCACAGTGGACGCCGTGGGCAGAGCTGTCACCTCATAGCAAGAACGGGGCTGGGTTCGATTCCCCGGCCGGGCGACCAGGGTGCTTTCTGTGTGGAGTCTCCCTGTGTCTGCATGGGTTTCCTCCCACAATCCAAAGACATAAACGTAAATGTGTGTGTGAACATACATGTCTGTGTGTCTGCCCTGTGATGGATTGGCAAACTTTCCAGGGCATTTCCTTCTGCCCGACGTACACTGGGATAGGCTCCAGCACCTTCCATGACCCAGAAGGATACACGGCTTAGAAGATGGATGGGTGGATGTTTCTGGCTCTAGGTAGAGTGCTTAGCCTAGCCATGCAACACGTCAAGTCACGTCTTTAACGACATGAGCTGTCGACATGAGCTGACTGAACTGTCAGCCTGTATACTTTCTCGATACTTTAGTGAATTCTGTATTTGATTACCCTGGAACATCCCTAGTCAACACACCATCTCACCACCCTGTTATCTCCTTGTTTTCCTCAGTGTCCTTCACTATAAACCGTCCAGTTGTTAGATAACAGCCCCCAACTGATGAGCCCCCTGCTGGTCAGAAAATGACGTGCCTTGGCTCCTCACCTGATTCATTTTTCTCTATGACCTCTACCACCTGGCCCACATGGAGGCTGATCTCTGAACTCTCCTGCTTCTCATAGTCCGTCACGGCCACATACTGGTCCAGCAGAAGCGGGTCAGCTGAAGTGGAGTCTCCTCCTGCCATGGACAAAATGCTTAAACGTTATAACTTGCCTTCCTCTTACATCACTATGGCAAAAAGAGCAGAGTGAAGCCGATGTGATTATTTGGAAGTTAGAAGTGAGGAAAATGGAAGCAGAGACAGGACAGTTTAGTGCAAAGAGATAATAAAGGGAAAGAAAAAAGAAAACCCACACCAGATCACCAGCAAATCTGCAGTGAACGCAGCAGCAAATCACAGGATTTTACTATTTTCATGACCGACTAAACCTAAGATGCAATTGAAAAGCGCTCTTCAACTAAGCTGAGACTCACCTCAACCTTACACCCCACCATCCAATGACTAGCATGCAGTTGCAAAGCTATTTATTTGGAGCTTAATCGCCACAGATACTGATCTAACATAAAGAATAAAGAAGTGCTGGGTGAGGACTTTGGGCAAAAAAGAAACACTGACCCACAACTGACCCATCTCTATATTACATACCTCTGACCACACCTTTGCAACACAAATGACATGTCTTAGTAGGGCTGCAAAATATATCATTCGTTAATCTTTACTGTGGTTTTGGCCTTTGCAAAACTGATATCTCAGGATGCTGCCAGATGCAAATGAGCTCTAAGCCAGTCTTTAACCATGTCCCATGCTTTTTTTCTGCATACACTGCAAGATCTGCTGTGTTATAATGGAAATACATAGCAAAACAACTGCAACACTAGTTTTCTATCCACAGTGTGCAGCGCTAAGCCTCTTAGATATTCAAATATCTTAGGCCTAATCCCATTTCTTATTTTTACCCCATTCCTTGTTTTCGAGTGTCACCTTGCCCCTTGGAACTGAGTTACAAGTCGTAGTGGTCGAAATCTTCCCCTATGAAATGGGATCCTCAAATAAAAGAACATTACTTCATTAACAGCTACCAGCGCTGCTCTGTAGGCGACCCTGCCAGTCTGCAGTGACAGCAGAGGAGGGTAAAGTTCAGCTCCTCACTGCTGGGCTTTAGTTACATTTAGGACATCATGTGCCTTAAAAGAGGGGGGCAATTATTTATTATCACCCACCCCTAATACTTTAGTAATATGAAGCTGAAGTCAGATATTCGCCAGCTTCTTGCTTGAACTTTCCCATTCCACCTTAAATGGTGCAGCAGTTGGGATGCCTGAAGCACCAGAATGTAACTATGAATGCCCCATTTAAGGTGGAACGGGAAGTTAGCTAGCTAGTTAGCTAAAGAGAACCAGCACACTACGAGTGATTTTTTATGCTTGTTATGAAGAAAAGAACCATAATACATTGTAACGACATTAAACAAAGATAATACAGTGGTTATCATAATTTTTAACAGAGAAAATTCTCACATTTGTGGGTTTCTTTGGTCTCTTGCTCAGCCATCTTGCCGATTTTTCTTTTTTTCTCATAACGCTCTGTCTGGAGTGTGTCTCTGAAAAACCTCCGTGTGGAGGGCCGTGTAACCCTAACACTTCACCCTACATGAACTGACCCTCCTGATGATGCTGCTGCTGCTGCAGCTGCATAAACTCAAGCTATCTAATTAACTATTGCTTCACCTGTTTTCCCAGTTTTGTACTATAATACTTATACTAACGCTGTTTGCTATCCGGTGTCGACCAGAGAAGGATGGGTTCCCCTTTTGAGTCTTGGTTCCTCTCAAGGTTTCTTCCTTTTGCTTTTAGTGAGTTTGTTCTTGCCACTGTCGCCATTGGTGACGCTCATGGGGGGCTTGGACCCAGATTTTTCTGTAAAGCTGCTTTGTGACAATGTCTGTTATAAAAAGCGCTATATAAGTAAACTTTGACTGGACTTGACTTGACCCTACCCCTCTATCTCAACAAAAATCGGGACACCCTACCCCTACACGAGAACACGCAAATTGGAGGGTTAAGAGCTAAACGGTAGGGGGGAGGGGTGAAATGGGATTAAGCCTAAATCAGCACATAGTCCAGGGGCCATTTCCCAAAGACAAACCAGTCCAATGCAATCAGACATTTCTATTAAACCTACAGGGAGGTCTTCACTTCTGACTGAGCTGAAAAAGCCTGCTTTTACACCACACGGTCTTGTTCTAGGTGCCATTTAATGATCTGTCACTGGTGCAGTTCTAGTCCCAGGCCAGTAGGGGTAGTCCGGAGCTTTGGCCTTCAGATTTTGGTGAGTTAAAAAAAAAAGTTTCTGTTTTTTGTACTGTTGGTTTGATTTAGAGTCCAGCACTGCTCTGATGTGTCAAAGTCAATCCACGTGAGTGCTGTTTATAAAAAGTGCTAGTGTTGAAATACTGTGGAGATTTACTTTAATTGGAAGCTGAGTGTTGTTTATGTCAGTCTTTGTGAGTTTGTATGATGTTCGACTGTGCAATGTGAAATCTTAATTATTTTCTGTTATACATGGAGACTTTTTTTTTACTGTGGGGTTAAACTGGCCTTTTAACTTCCAGAATTTACTTCCCACTCTATTCTTCTGTCTTTCATGGACCAAGTACAACACAATACAACTCCAAAAATACAACTTGGCACCTACAAGCACTGTTTTGGTTCTGCAAAAATGTGGTCTGAGGTATGTATAGTCCATGTAAGTACACAAACTAAACTACTACCACAGAGTCTACATTACGGTTCTATTACATACTAACGTTGCAACACTATAGCTAGTACTGTCAAAAGATCCGCCAGCACTAGTACGAACGCTACTTAAAGGGGCATTCCACCATTTTTCAAAATTTCTGTATAATTCAGTCATTGAGTAAAGTCATTCAGAGTGGTTTGAAATGAAATGAGTCACTGTAGAGAAACTTATAGACTCAGACATCTTTACAGTGGTGGTGATAGGAACCTGAGAATACCCTTCATGTATCCCTCCACCATGAATAGATTAAAATAAGTTGCTTAAAACATGTTTCAGACCAAAACTATATCATAAAACAATGTCTCAGACATCAGGCAGTGTATTCATAACCATCTCATGTAATAACTTGCTGTGAGCTGTTAGAGGTGGATGTCTGGTTCCTATCACCACCACTGTGAACAGTTCTGACTCAGTACATTTCTCTAAAATGGAACGTTTCACACCAAACCACTCTGAATGACTCTGTTTACATTTTAACCATTTAATTAGGCAGAAAATTTGAAAAATTAGTGGAGTTCCCCTTTAAAACAATAGCCCAGCAAAAAATCTAATTTACACAGTTCCTGTGCCCCCTTACCCTAAATGTAGTCGATCAGCCAAGAAGGTTTAGTGTCCGAATTTTGCTTCTTTAGTTTTCTCTGAAGCTACGAGGCTAATCTCAAACTCACTTTTATGGCACTACATCAAAAAGAGTTACCTAAAAAAATGGACAAAATATCTTGCATAGCTGAAAATGAAGTCGAAGCCTGAATTTTGTTCCTCACTTTTTGTAAATTTAGGCACAGGCACAGTACAAAGTGATGTAGATATAGCATTACTGGTTAAATCAGCCTCGTACGCCCCAGTGCTAAACTAAAAGAGCTTGGCATTTAGGAGTAAAGGGCAAATTGCATAAATTTGATTTGTTTGCCTAATAAACTATTCTTAAACTATCACTTTAATCAGGAGTTCTATCCATTTGTTACTCTCAGTGACTGACGTATGACCTTCTACCACCAATTAGACCACCACTACACAGCCATGCGATCATCACACAGGGAACGAGCACCAAGCTTTGCCCCCAGCCCACCTCAGGAACTCAGAGTGGGGCTGCACCTCGAGGGCTCACACACAAAGAGCATGGCCACGTAAGTGGCAGTTACTACCTCGCTTTAGGAAAGAAGCCGCTCTCTCCACAATGCCTGATGAGGGAAAATGAATGAGAGTTGTTGTAAGGGAGGTGGGATTTGAATAAAAGGGGGAAAAGGCAAAGGGCAGTTCAGATAACACAAGGGTCAAAATATGTACAAAAACAATAAAAGATTCATGATAAGGATTACGGACGCTACAGCTCAGAATTACTAATTATTATACAGGGCTGTCTATGGCACATTCAGACTGAATTAGGCCAAAGGAACTAATAATTGTCAAAAATTAATAATAACTTACCCCCAGCACATCTAATGCATCATTAATTGCATTTCCTTACCTGATTTCTTTTTCCCGATGGGTTCCCTGTAAACAGATTACAAATAAAAGGTAAAGGTTAGATCACAGATCAACACTAGTAAAAGCTTTACTGCTTTACTTACAGCATAATCTAATTTACACAATTTCCACCCAACACAAATGTAGCTGATCAACCAAACTTTGTGCCCAAAGGTTGTTTCTTTAGTTGAGTTATTACACTCAGACTTCAGGTTTTTGGTTACTGCATGACATTCAACATATCACTGCTGTCGGAACAAAACCTCGTATCTCTAAAATGGTAACTTTACAGGAGAAGGAAAAAACATACTTTACTTTTAATGCAAGTCAATGGAACCAGATTTTTTTCCAAGTCATTTTGGGATGTTTCTATTGGTCCATTCACCATGAAACTTGCACGCAATATGAGGGGCAATATGTGCTTTCAAATTATGTCAAAAACTGAAAAACGACAAAAATGGAGATACAAGGTTTTGTTCCGCAGCAGGAGCCACTTTAAAGAGAGCACATTTGTGGTAATGAGAGAATGAATGCGAGAGGTTGGTCACTTCGTCTTTATGTCTGATGATTGAAAATGTTTAGTATCTGCATCAACACGCCTGATTAGACAATTAATCTAATAATATAATATAATATAATATTATAATAGTGTAGCGGTCAGTTCAGTCCTTTTCTCATTTTGTAATAAGCTGCCTGATTTAGATACTGCTCATTCGTTCTCATCAGGCAGAGAAACATTTAACAGAACATCACTGAACTGAACTGTGGCTGTACAGTAGAGGAACACTCACTGTTTTAGTCATTAACTGTGAATATCATCCACTTTACTGGAGCTTATTTGATACACTATGTCCAGATGGCCAGCAGTACAAGAACACAGTCCAGTTCATCCCACCATAATGTTTTTATTAGTTTCATTGTTAGCCAGATCTTTTTTTCACTGCTTGTCTCTCCTCACTGTCACCTGCCTTAAAGGTGCAGTGTGTAAAAATTAGAAGGATTTATTAGCAGAAATTAAATATAGTATAAAAAACCATGTTTAGTGTATAATCACCTGTAACTACAAATCGCTGTGTTTTCATGAGCCCTTCATATCTACATAGGGAGCAGATCCACTTCCTACAGAGGCCACCATGTTGCGCCACCAGAGCAGACAAACCAAACACTGGCTCTTGGATTTTTAGATTGAAGTGGCATGTGGAATTATGTGGCACTATAGCACCAGTTGGAAGACATAGAAAGAAGAAGAATGAGTAGCTGATGCCATCGCTGGTTAACTATTTTGTGTCATGAGAAGTTTGAGAACCCAAATTTTGACCAATGGAGGATTGTACGTACTATTTAGCCCAAGAAAAAGCAAAGGGGGTAAATCTTCGTCATCAAAGAAGCGAAAACATACCGGCCTCTGTAGATTCTACTACACACTTGGAAAGGGAGGGGTGAGGGAGGAGTATTCAATTGGTTGCAATCTGAAAAGAGTCTTAAGTGAATCAAATATGAGAGTATTTGCTTGAATTGGGGACTTAATGAAATGTTACAGTAGATAAGCTTTTAACTAATTACCTATTCAGTTTATATAACAATAGCAAATACAGCTTGTTCCTTGTTTCTACGCTCATTGTCCATTTTATCAGCTCCACTTACTATATAGGTGCACTTTGTAGTTCTACAGTTACAGACTGTAGTCCATCTGTTTCTCTGCATACTTTGTTAGCCCCCTTTTACCCTGTTCTTCAGTGGTCAGGACCCCCATGGACCCTCACAGAGCAGGTACTATTTGGGTGGTGGATCATTCTCAGCACTGCAGTAACACTGACATGGTGGCGGTGGTGTGTTTGTGTGTGTTGCGCTGGTTTAAGTGGATCAGACACAGCAGTGCTGCTTGAGTTTTTAAACACTGTGTCCACTCACTGTCCACTCTATTAGACACTCCTACCTTGTCAGTCCACCTTGTAGATGTAAAGTCAGAGACGATAGCTCATCTGCTGCTGCACAGTTTGTGTTGGTCATCCTCTAGTCCTTCATCAGTGGTCACAGGACGCTGTTGGCTGGATGTTTTTGGTTGGTGGACTATTCTCAGTCCAGCAGTGACACTGAGGTGTGTAAAAACTCCAGCAGCACTGCTGTGTCTGATCCACTCAGACCAGCGCAACACACACTAACACACCACCACCACGTCAGTGTTACTGCAGTGCTGAGAATGATCCACCACCCAAGTAGTACCTGCTCTGTGAGGGTCCCTAGGGGTCCTGACCACTGAAGAACAGGGTAAAAGGGGGCTAACAAAGTATCAGAGAAACAGATGGACTACAGTCTGTAATTGTAGAACTACAAAGTGCACCTATATAGTAAGTGGAGCTGATAAAATGGACAATGAGTGTAGAAACAAGGAGGTGGTCATAATGTTATGCCTGATCGGTGTATATTGATATATGGTGATATCCCAGCTGGTACAATATGGAGTAATCTCAAACACGTTTCTTATTAGTGAACTTCAGTAAACTGTCAACTCTGAAGATCAAAAGTGTGTTTTGGCCAAAGTCCTTTGCAAGAGAGTCTCTCTCTCTCTCTCTCTCTCTCTCTCTCTCCTGTTATATCCATCATTGTTATAAACAGTGTCTCCTTTCCAGCTACTAAGTGTTCTAGATTTCATTCTGCATAGTGGAGTCAGCTTGAAGCCAAGAGACTGGCAGCGCATTAGGAAAAAGCTCTAATCCAATTCTAAAAGACACATCAAGGTCCCTCTTTCAAATATTGTCAGGTTGGCCTTGGGTTTGAGGACAGATGAGCCCCGTGTATTTGCTAACTGTACTCCAGCATGTCAAAGACAATAAACTAATGACATCAATACGTTGTGTTTTTTTCCCAGGCTTGTATGCAGTAAGAGTAGATGGCTAACTGTGAGGATGCTAATGCTAATGCACCATCTTCTGGATTTGTCATTATGAGGTTATTCCAAAATCTAGCCTGATGACAGCTCACTGACTGCATGTGCTCTTTTTCCAAAATCAGCAGTTTTAGCAGCTAAAACCAATGAAAGCTATTACAGCCCTTGTGTTGCTTATTTGTGGAAAAGATTGTGGATCAGCTCTACACTCTAAAAAAGATGGTTCTTAAAGGGTTGCTTAGCAAAGAAAGTGGTTCTATATAGAGCCACGAACACTCCAAGCACCCTTTGCATCATGAAAGGTTTCTTAAGAATGTTCTGTAGATGGTTCTATATAGAACCTTTCTGAAAAGCGTTCAAAGAAGAGGCTTCTTACCCACTGCTATAAGGCTCTACGAGTCTCCTTACTGCAGAGACGGTACTGATCTCCTGTTTTTACTTTATTTCTCTTCTATTATATTTCTATTTTCATTTCTGCATAGTTTATGTAAGTTTATGTGCAATTATATGTTTTGCTACTGAAACACTGTAATTTCCCTTCATGATCAATTAAGTTTTCTTTTTCCTTTTCTTTTTCTTTCTTTCTTTCTTTCTTTCTTTCTTTCTATCTCTGTCTGTCTGTCTATCTGTCTGTCTATCTATCTGTCTATCTATCTATCTATCTATCTATCCGTCTGTCTGTCCGTTTATCTATCCGTCTATCTATCTGTCCGTCTGTCTATCTGTCTATCTATCTATCCATCTATCTGTCTATCCATCTACCCATCTATCTGTCTGTCTGTCTATCTATCCGTCTATCTATCTGTCCGTCTATCTATCCGTCTGTCTGTCTGTCTATCTGTCTACCTATCTATCCATCTATCTATCTGTCTATCCATCCATCCATCCATCTATCCACCTATCTATCTATCTGTCCATCTATCTATCTATCTATCCATCTGTCTGTCTGTCTGTCTGTCTGTCTGTCTGTCTGTCTGTCTGTCCGTCCATCTATCTATCAGTCTGTCTGTCTATCTATCTATCTATCTATCCGTCTGTCTGTCTGTCCATCTATCTATCCGTCTGTCTGTCCATCCATCCATCCATCCATCCATCTATCCATCTATCCATCTATCCATCTATCTGGCACCACAAAGGGTTCTTCTATTGTTACAATGTCAAGCTTGTAACAATAGAAGAACCATTTTAGGCGCTATATAGAACCCTTTTCAAAAACATTCTATATAGAACCATCTACAGAACATTCTGAAGAAACCTTTCATCATGCAAAGGGTTCTTACAGGGTTCATGGTTCTATATAGAACAATTTTCTTTACTAAAGAACCCTTGAAAAACCATCTTTTTTAAGTGTGTAGGATAGGAGTGGGGCTATATTTTGTACTTTTAGGCTGACCAACTGACCTGTAAAGGCCCTGCTCACAAAAGTGTTTATTCACAGTTACAACTGCGAGGCTGGACAAGCCTTACTTTTGTCTAAAACACCTACATTAAATGCAAAAGGTGTCACTGTTAGGATCGGATTGGCGGTGTAATCATGGTATGCACACAGCCTATATCAGCGGTTCTCAAACACACCCTGACCGTCTCCTTTTTTGCTCTATCCATGTGTGTTGCGAGTTAAAAAATCTGGACCTTCTGGGGTCCCTGAGGAAAATCACTGGCCTATGCAATATGTCGAAAAGGTGAAGTTGCAGGACTTCCAAGAGCTAAAGACAGGCTTTCAGTTACTCCTGTTCGCATCAGAAGTCCGAATATGGAAATGTTATGAATAAAACTGTGTTTTACACTCATGGGTAGGCTATGATGTTAACTCAGGCAGCTAGCAATGTCAAAACAACTGAAAGTGATTAAATTTTCCCTCAGCACAACATTCAGAGGTTTATCCTTAAAAAACCCTGATTACACAACAAAAAGCTAAACCCATCTGTCCCAACAGTGTGACTGTGCACACACCTACAAAATATATGTCATTTGAAATGAGAAACACATTCTACATCTATGAATTTTGATTAAAAAACTGATGCATATGCTACATTTTGATTGAATGGGATTTTTTGTCAATGTTCTGCAAAGCCTGTCCAACCTCAAAGACGGACTGTGAACTACAGACAACTACAGGGAGATTCACTCGAAAGAGGCCCCGAATATTCTGTAATAACTCTCGCTAGGATGAAGCAATCTGAACGAAACAACGTGCAATGTGCTCCTCAGTATATGGAGCTTCGAACAAGCCAGGATGCCCCTGCGTCAGAGCGACAAGGTAGGCACCGGACAGCTGTCGCGACGTGTAACCTCCGTTCGCAACTTCCAGGTGCATACCCCCGTACCCCTTCATGTGTCTGGCAGAAAACGGAGATCACTTCCAGCATCGCATGTAATGCAGTTGCTTACACATACGTCAGGGTATGTAGAGTATTTTTTTGGTTCAGATTGCTTCATCCTAACGGGAGTTACAACAGAATATTCGGGGCCTCTTTCGAGTGAATCTCCCAGTACATGAGTCTGTTAACTTTACATCTACCTTTATTTAGCAGGCACTTATCCACAGAGATTTAAATCAGTCGGTATGACAGTAAAGTTATTGTTTGTTTTAGTAACTAATGGGAACTATATATGAATCAAGACCAGCTTTATTTTGTAAAAATATCACTGTACTGGTATTTACGGTGGCGAAGAAGACCCAACAAACTGCAATAAAAATGGCTGCAAACCCAGAAAACACTGTCATCAAAATGACGACATTAACGATACATTTCATAAATACAGAAACACATGCAACTTCAGAAACACTGATAAGCCAGTCACAACACAACAGAGATGATTCAGGGACACTTAAAGAGGACAGAGCCATTCAGACTTCTAAAGTCTATGCAGCATAAACATTAACCGGTGAACATGAGATAACCCTTATTTGAGCAGATTATGACTATCACTGTATCATAAAGGGAATTAGCTGTAAAGTGTAGCTGTAAAAGTTAGAGAACCATAACTGTAACTGTAAAACCAGAGAACTATCACAGCACATCTATGACATATCACATAGCAAACTAGCCAGTCAGGTTAACCATGACCTTGGGATGTGAGTGTCCGAGTGTCTGTGGTCTTATCAACTTCTGTCTGTGATTTTCCATCATAGATATTCCATCACATTGGCCAGTCTTCCAGGAGTCTTTTTGTTGTGTTGTGGTTCCCTTACGTTGTGACTGGCTTTGCTGCATTTCTGAAGTTGCCTGTGTTTTGCAGTGCGTTTGTAAAATGTTGAGGAAAGTGTTCTCTGCTTTTGCAGCATGTTGGCAAAATGCAGTTCAGGTGTAGTCATTATGGCTACGTTCACATTACCAGGCTGAAGTGGTACAAATCTGACTTTTTGCCCTAATGTGACTCAGATCTGATGTTTTCAGAGCTGTGTGGACACAAATCTGATCTTTTCAAATCCGATCTGAGCCACTTTCATATGTGGTCCTAGATCGGATACGTATCCGATTCGTGGCCATGTGACCTTAATGTGACGCTCAGATCGGAATTCATGTGCCATCTTTCCACTGCGCATGTGCCATCATTCAGCGTTACCATGGCAGCAGCGCCGAACAGAAGTTAAAGCCTGTAAACGGTGGAAAAGCAACACATCTCACCTTTTTCTCCTTCGTCTTGCTCTAATAATGAAGCTGAGAGCTGATCAGAGTTAATTATCTTCTCAGCGAAGCTCGTTCTGCTCGTTAGTTTGTGCTGATGATTCACGTGATTCATTCACGTGACGTTACTGAGTAGGATGTGCGCATGAGGGTCATTTCAGGACGCCGGTTTGTTCACATTAATGACAGATTTGAGTCACTTACCTAAACGAGTGAACCATCGTGTCAGAGAAATCGGATTTGGGCAAAAAATCAGATTTGAGCAATGAGGCTTGTAATGTGAACATAGTGCGTTTATGAGTTTGCAGCGCGTTTTTAACTGTACTGTGAACAGGGTCTCCTCAGCTACTATAGGTAATCACTTTCCTTTTAATTCTCCACCATCTCTGCCACTGCGGCACAGTAGAAGATGGTCATTAATATGACCACTGCATGAAAAACAGATGAACAGGCTGTGCAGTGTGTAAATAAGTGTGAACTCACTCTATGGGTGGGTTCAGGTCCTCGGGACGCGTCTCAAAGAACACGCGCACTTCCTCACACTGGGAAATATACACAGGCAGCTGGATCAGGGCCTGAAACAGAAAGGACACAAAAACCGATGACCAAAGGCTTTACAGTAAGCATCCGTTCCAGAAAGCTTAACGGTCAATAAAGGCTTCCTGCATTTTTTTAATAGCAAGTGACCAGAAATGCCCATGTATTTACTGAACAACAGGCTGGTGTTAATGCATGGCACACAAACTCAGAACAATTCTGTAAACAGATCAGCGGATCAGCAACACATTAAATAAACAATAATATTTGAAATTTGCATATAATGCATAATAATATGTAGTGAGGGCTGCACTGATAATACCAATTGTGAAAAAAATAACAGATTTTTATTATCAGTGTGTTGGTGAAAAGCATTTTATGATCCTCTATAAGGTTGATATTCAGTCATTCCAACACATCACGATGCATTAGTGTTGATATGGTGTAGTGCAGGGGTCGGCAACATGTGGTTCCGGGGCCACATGTGGCTCTTTTACTGCCCTGTTGTGGCTCCACAGCAGAATTAGATAAAATAAGGTTAGGTAAAAATAAAATAATCCTCCTTTACAGTAAAATGAAGCTCTGCTGATCGTTTTATCACAGATTTAACGATAAATATTCATTTGCCAGCTTTTTGTTCGAACTGTCCAGTTCCACCTTAAATGGTGCAGCAGTTACATTATTGGAACAGAAAAATTCAAACAAGAGGCTGGAGAATGCGGAGCTGACTTCACCCCTGTAAAAATCAAACGCTGTGAGCCATTTTACAAAAAACTATTCCACTTTTGAGGAAACGTTTCCTGCCGGAGATGCGAGAAAAGCAGCAATAACTGATCAAAATCTTAAAGCGGAGCAAAATAAGTGCATTTTCATTTTTATTATATTTTTAAGTTTACACTAGGACATTAGCTAGCACATATTAAGACATATTTTCAGCGAAAATGGTAAAAAGTTCAATAAAATGGACATAAAATGTGGTGATTTTTGTTGAAAGGACAAAATGGCTATTTTTGCCATTTGGGTTGCCGACCACTGGTGTACATCGTTAACACCTCTGCCTTCTGTGCTACACACTGGGGTTCAATCCCCTGTCTGGGCAAGTACCCTACACTATTCCAATAAGGGTCCTTGGGCAAGACTCCTAACACTACCTTCACTTACCTGTGTAAACTGATCAGATTGTAAATCGCTCTGGGTAAGAGCGTCTGGCCAATGCCATACATGTAATGTAAATGTAATGCATTACAGGCAGTGTAGGGGGCGATATGGCTTCTTTGTCCTCTTTGTACTTTGAGCACTGACGGTGGTAAAGGAAGAGAAACTGCAGAAGGCCTAATAAATTAGTCAAATAATTGAATAATAGGCAACAGATCGTTCAGTTACAGAAGCAACTGTAAGTTGGAGACCTTGAATTAGTGTCAGGTATGCAATGAGCACCACTTTCCTTTGCAAACGGCCTCAAGGCTTCAAAGACATTCTTCCTAGATGTGCGTCCTTTAGGGAGAGCCAGCAGAAAGTCCAGCTAAGTCCAGTTCCCACACCTCCACAAAGCCAGCGCCGGTTAGCGCGCATTAGAGTCATCTGCTGCGGAGATATTTGCCGTTTCTAATCTATGCTCATCGATCTCTTCTCTAAAGATCCATCGGAGGCCGAGGGCTCTGCACGCTGTCTGCTGAAGGGAGTCGGATGAGAGCTGACAGGCAGCCATTTCTCACTAAAGATTAAAGGCAAACAGGCCTTTTTCTGCACCAAACGGCAGCTTAGCTTGTGCAGCTGCCCAGTCCTACATTCAACTGAGCTTTATATCTGTATCAACTTTCATACTTTACAAATAATAAAAGGCAACTTTATAAAATGTGAAACAGCAAATAAACAATGAACAACATGCAGTAAAAGACGATAAAAGAAAGGAAATTAAAAGCTGACTAAAAAGGTGTTTTAATACTCGTACAATATCTAAATTCACCAAACAACAGATGCAGAATGCGCATCAATTATGACCGTCTTAAGGAGGTGAATATGTGTCTTGCTTCTGGTGGCACACGATGCAGAAGACCATACATTGGCTTGTCTTTAATAAAGCTAAGTGCTTTGGGGCTGTCCTTGTCAAGAGGCAGACATGCTGTCTCTCTGCATGAGCTGAATTATGATGCCTTGGAGATTTTAACAGCACGGCTGTGCAAAGGCAGTGTCTGTTCAAGGTGTCCTTTCCTACTGAGGCACATTTGGCTTTTAAATATTAGAGGCACAGGGTCGGTGCCAAATTCATACAACTAGGCTGTGACTCGCTAATTAGCCTTCAGGATGTCATACGAGGGTGCACTTGCTAGGGATGTGCACTGCAACTAATTTTGATATTCGAGTATATACAAGATGTTAATGAATAGATATCCAGTTAACCGCGAAAAACACAAAAACAGACAAAAAAGGTACATTGGTGAAAGTAACGCAGGGCTGGAGTTTGAGGTTTAAGTGACTGTGCTGGGGTTATTTAATAAATCAGTGCACCAAATTTAGCAGGAATAAATTTGAATGTTTAATTTAAAAAAGCCAAGAGAAATCAGTCATTTTTGTGTTGGATGAGTATCAGAGGCTGCCTCTTCAGATGAGTGCACTCGCCCAAATTTCTAATTACATGGTTGGTTTACAGCTAGTTATGGAGGCCCTATCTGCATATTATTGACCTTTCTCTGTTAGAACTGCAACTAATATGTAACTACGACATAACAGATAAATATACTGACTGTTTTTTGATTGTTTCACTAATCTAACTATCATACCTTCTTCAGTTCCTCTCCGATTGCTGCCACAAACATGCCATCAAAGTGCCGTCTGAGCGATTTTTCTTTTATCGTGCAAGAAAAACAATAGTAGCCCTCTGCACTTCCTGCAGTGTACTGCAATCTGTCAGAATGACCGCATGTATTACACAAACAGTGGGCTTAAAAATGCATATAGACATTTTTCCATAATCAACCTCAACAACTATTCGATTTAATTTACGCCTCACCATCACACTAAAAAAGCCATGTGCAACACATTCAGCTGCTCGAAAACACAGCCAAACATTTCATTTAATCAAATGTATCCTTACCATCCACCTAGATAACCTAACAGAATACAATGTCACAACAGCTCTGCCACTGACTTTTTACAATTACCAGTCAACATCACTGCATGAAGTATTTTTTTTTATTATGGTCTCAAGACTGTAAATTAACCACCCTGATCTCAAAATCATTTGGACTCGGTCTTGTTTCTCTGGACAAGGTGGAGAGCAGCCGAGTGTCTCCGACATTGTATTCTTTTAAAAAAACCTATGCCTATTTTGAATTTGATGCCAGCACCACATTTAAAAAAGTTGGGACAGGGGCATGTTTACCACTGCGTTTACCTCTTCTTTTAACAACACTCTGTATGTGTTTGGGAACTGAGGAGACCAATTTTTGTAGTTTTGAAAGTAAAATGTTTTCCAATTCTTGCTTAATACAGGATTTCAGCTGCTCAGCAGTTCGGGGCCTCCTTTGTAGTATGAATAAAACAGTCCAATGCTCAAATCTAATCTGTTGACTACCGATTAAGGCTCTAATTGATCTTTCCATGATAGGTTAACTAGGTATTATTTGTTTGTTGATGTTAATTGCTTTCAAAATTCAAACATCTCCTGAGAGCAGATCGAAGATCATTATTACTATGTTTCATTTAATAATAAAAATGGACATATATCTTATTTGGTTTATAATATTTAGTTTTAGAGAAGAAGGGACAGAGAAGAACTTTACCATTGTTTGCTTCCAAAAGCTACAATCCAAGTTCGATAGTAAATTCATAGAAACATAATAAATTCAACAGTTTTAGGCTATACATTATTTAATTTTATATTATGGTCCTGACTCTAACTCGCTGACTCAATGTGTCCAGGTCTCTGTCTTGAATGGAACTCACCTTTAGTGGTTTGGACTACAACACTACATTTTAATGGTCAAAGTTTTAAACGTGAAGCAAGACAATACAGACTGGCTTGATATGAGCCACAGACAATACAGGAATACTACGCAAATGCTTCTATGAGTGTTTCCACACTTAAGAAAACACATGAAAACTCTCTCCCCACAGGATATATCTGAATATATACTAGTGGCAATATATACACTGATATTCACATGGGATAATATAAGCTGGGGTTATGTAAAAGCCCCTGAAATCTTTAGTCAGAAGCATGCAGGCCACAAAAAGTACTGATAAGTTGGATTCAGCCAGGACTAAAATCACTGAGAAACACTGGTATTAGTTTCGTCGCCCCACCTCCCCACATAAAACTAACCCATCCGACTAGTACTTTTTCGACTAATCATTGCAGTTCTGCTCTCTGTCCCTCCATCCGAAGAGATGGTTTCCAGGGCCGTCGCTACTACCCTCAGATTGATACCCCCTCTGGGTGACCTCCACAGTCATTTGTATTCTCTCCTGGGAGCCGCTGCATGGAGGCCCATTACAGCAAATGGTCTTTATTGGTGCTCTTCCTCTGCTGGCTGCATTAACCTGATTGTGTGTGTGTGTGTGTGTGTGTGTGTGTGTGTGTGTGTGTGTGTGTGTGTGTGTGTGCGCATGAGAGAGAGCGAGGGAGTGTGTTTATCAATGTATTCATCAATGTGTGCACATGTCTTGGCCTATGTTAAAAACAGACATGGACTGAAGATTTCTGGAGTTCAGACATCAAAGAGCTGCAGCAGAAAGATAAACTATACGAGATAAGTTTTAAATCCTCAGTCGGAGGCGTGGCCTGGGGTCAGGGGTTATGCTTTAACGCTAAGTTCGTTCCTAACGGGCTAAGTGGATCGGTTTAAAGTGACAGTTCAGCAAAAAAATCTAATTTACTACATTTCTCCTTTTCTCCAAATGTAGTCAATCAGCCAAGACGTGTCTGGAGTCTAGACCATGTCAATTTGATTTTTTTCCTTTAAAGGAGCAGAACTCAAAATAACAGTGCTCAGCTCAACACAATGGAGTTCATGGAAGCCAGAGCCATCTCACTAAGCCCTGGCTTCATAACTTCTGTTATGGTTATGACTTGAAAGGAGGAAGTAAATAAATTATATATATATCAAAGTAAACAGGAAAGTCAAAGGGAAGTGCAGAAAATTAAGAAATTAAAAAAAATTTCATTTTAAAGCGTAGTAGTTCTTAAAGGAAAGATCACTGGGAAAGATTTGGAATGTGATACGTAGTTTACGTTAAAAGTAGTTTAGTTTAAGTTTACAATCGTATGCAAAGGTTTGGGCACCCCTAGTCAAATGACTTGTTTTGTTGATTTTCTACATGAAAATGAGTTAAAACATCCTAAAATTTGCAGAAAATGCCGTATCTGAGAACAACCCCATTTAAAAAATGCTGGGACGCTGTGCAAAATATAAATAAAAGCAGAATGCAAACAAAGTGCAAATCATTTAAGCTCTATAACTAATTGAAAATAGTACAAAGACAACATATCAAATGTTGAAACTGAGACACTGTATTCTTTTTTGAAAAATCTATGCCTATTTTAAATTTGACAAACAAAGCCTGTTTATATTGTTCAGCATTAATCTCCTCTTTAGCGTGGAGGACACGGCATCCCCACGTCCAAAAGGAATTTCAAATTTCGATTTGTCGGACCACAGTATACTTTTCCACTTCACCTCAGTCCATCTTAAATGAGCTCAGGCCCAGAGAAGGCGGCGGCGTTTCTGGATCCTGTTTCTATTTAATTTCTTCTTTGCATCTAAGAGTTTTAACTTGCATTTGTGGATGCAGTGACAAACTGTTTTCACAGACAGTGGTTTTCAAAAGTGTTTCTGAGCCCATGTAGTGATTTCCACCACAGAATCATGTCTGTTTTTAATGCAGTGCCGTCTGAGGGCCCAAAGATCACGGCCAGCAAATGCTGTTTTTTGGCCTTGAGCCTTGCATACAGAGATTTCTCCAGATTCTCTGAATACTGTAGATGATGAAAACCCCAAGTTCTTTGCTATTTTACATTGAGAAACGTTATTCTTGAATTGTTGCACTACAGAGTTGTCTTTTACAGAGTGGTGAACCCCTCCCCATCTTTACTTCTGAAAGAGCCTCTGAGATGCTCTTTGTATACCCAGCCATGTCACTGACCAGTTGTGAATTAACCTCATTAGTTGTGAGATGTCCTACTAGTTTTGGCATTTACAGTGTTTTGTTGCCCCCGTCCCGACTTTTTTGAAATGTGTTGTCTGCATCAAATTCAAAATTGACATATATTTTTTCAAAAACAATACAATTTCTCAGTTTCAACATTTGATACGTTGTTGTTACACTATTTTTCAATTTAACATAGGGTTTAAATGATTTGCACATCATTAAATTCTGTTGTTCTTTGTATTTTTCACAGCATTACAACTGTTTTGGAAATGGGGCTGTATGTTCTCTGTAGAGGGTGTGTTAACTTCTCAGAATAATCCATGTAATCTGACCAGGGGCGCCCAAACTTTTGCATTCAACTATCTTCTGCTTCTGTAATGATACTTTAGACCAAACACACCAAGTCGTGGAAAGGAAGCTTTTACATCCGGACGCTTCCCTCATTTCCCTCCAGTGTGAGAATGATTTGAAATGTGTTTAAAAGTGCTTAACAGTCTCTTGATCCGATGACCACAGAAACATGGCACCTTTTCATGTAGAGAGGGAAAACCCTTCTGTGTCAGCACAAAAACAGAGCTTTCTGGCAATACACCAGAACAAAGATCATGACTATTATGAGGCCTCCTTGTAAAAAGTCTAAGGGTAACATTTTCTTTTTAAAAAGCCATTTCCTCCAGAGGCAGCCCTTAAAACTAAACACAAAGCCACGGCCTGCTGACAAAGGCTGCCTCAGCACAGCTCTGACCCTCCACCCTCATGGGGGCACTGCTGCCAAATCAGTGTAATTAGTTGTTTGTTTGTTTAAAAAAAAAAGAAACTGGGAAAGAGACGCACTTCAAAGATATTTGGACTAAATATCACCCTCCAGTCTTTGATCAATAAGGCCATAACTAGAAATACTGTGCCATGTTGCAGCTCCTAATGAGAAACTCCACATTAAGCAACGATTATATCGCCATTGCTGGAACAAAACCTCGTATCTCCATTTTTGTCATTTTTCAGTTTTTGACATAATTTGAAAATGCCTGTTGTTCTTTATACTGTGTCTAAATTTCATGATCAATTGACCAAAAGAAACAGCCCAAAATTGCTTGGTAAAAAGTCCGGTTCCATTGACTTACATTAAAGTAAAGTAAGTTTTTTCCCTCTCCTGTAAAGTTATCATTTTGGAGATACGAGGTTTTGTTCAGACAACAGTGATATATAATTATATTATATATATTATATATTATGTAGCCCTCTAAATGCGGATCTAGACTAAAACTGGGTGAAATGGCCAAAAATCTACAATATATTACAGTCACAATGTATTTTTTGTGAAATCAAAAGGCTTATCCAGTGTAACAGACAAAACTGTTTCAGAGCAAGACAGAACATAAAATAAGTTTAATTAAAATAAGCTTAAATTAAATATTTTGAGGGGGCTGTGCTTTCACAGGGCCTTGCCATTATTTCATCTTGTTCTGAGCCGTTTTCCTCAAACTCACAGCTTTATTTACCCTCCATTTCAACACTGAAAATAGCTATCGCTAACTAACTGCCCTGATAGTTTGTTATGTTGCAAATGAATGGCTAGACTTCTCCCTCCTTGTGTTGTGAGGGAAAGACACACATTGGCACCTAGCATACCGAATCAACTGTTCAAGCCTTTGCTGCTAATACAGGCTTCATGGGGAGAAAACCACAATCATTTTGCTGAAAATCTCTCAAACGTTCACAATGAAAAAGTTTGATAAAAAAAAAAAAGTATTGTTTCATCTCCCAGGCCTAACCTACAATGAGAGATTGCAGGGAAGGAGAAAGAGGCAATGATGGCTGATGCAAGACTTACCCTGCAGTATTCGTTTATGGGCCGCAGGCGCTTCATGGCCACGTCCCTGATGTGACTCCTTCTGAACAGAATTTTCCCTGGGAACAAAACACAACAGTCTCATTTCTTTGGCCCCGTATGAGAAGTGTAATTCAAAAAATCCTGGATTCTGAACGTTACACTTCACTGGAAGCGTTCGCAAGGTCTGTATATCAATCTGCACATTTTACACCTCATACAAAATCCTCAATGGTATCATCACTGATCCTAAACATTCATGTTTAAGGAGCTGGTTACTTCTGTGTGTGAAAACTAGTGCACTCTCAGAAAAAAAGCTACAAAACTGTCACTGGGGCAGTTCCCCTCTTGTCACTGGGGTGGTCCCCTCAAGGGTACATCTCAGTACCTTTAGTCAGGGAACATAACTGAACCATAATCCACTGAAACGATATTTTCTAAGTTGTACTGACTCCACACACCCCGTCTCGTCTCCAGGCTTTTATTTTACTGTTCTGTTTTAAAACATTCGGAATGAAAAGGTACAAATCCGAACTTTTCACCTGGAAAAACTTATTTATGGTGCACAATTGGACCTTTGAGGGAACGTTTACATTGTTTGTACCTTGATTAATGAAAAATGTACCTTTATTTCTAACAGTGTGGTGTCAAAGTTCCAGCCTGAAGCCCAGCTGATGACTCCACGACTACAGCCCTTTTGTTCAAACACAGCTTTTGAACTGCAAGGAGTCCAAAGTATTATTTACAAGCAAAACGCATCGCTAATGCAGCGACTGCGGTAATATCAGTAACACTGGCACTGGAGAAAACCTTCAGCAGCTGACACTGGACAGTGCTTATGGGAGAACTGTAGATAAATCAACAGTCCACAAACTGTGCCAACTAACAAAAGCAAGAAATTGCAACGCTCCGGTTCCACATTACATTCTGACACAGCTGTTTTGTCCACTCATACAGTTCCAACAAAACACACTGCATTTTAAATGAAAAAAGAAAAATAAGACAAGATTTAACTGCACAAAATAATGTGATTTATCACAATCAATTATTTATTAGTAAATAGTTTTCTCGTAAGGTATTTGCTTGGAAACATTAAGTAGTGAACTCTGACATGCCCTTCATGAAGAAAGACCCTCTTATCAAGACAAAAGAACATGCCAAAGCTGTGAGTCAGTGATGAGAAATGGACTTTAATGGGTCTTTGGGAACCTTTTAACTTTTACAGCTCCAAGGAAGTTAGAGCCGTAGATAATGGTTGCTGTGTAATTAGAAGTGTCTGCCTTTAGAACACCATGGACTGGGGTCAACATGAGATCAGCTAAATACGGTTCAAGCAGGAAAAAGCTTATGATTCACATCCAGTACTGGAATAAATACATTTTACTATTGCAGTCCCTCACTTATTATCTATTAAATAAAAATAAATAAATAAATAAAAGTTTATATTGTCCAGTGAGAGAGAGAGAGAGAGAGACTGAGACCTGTCCTAACCACAGAGTGATGCTGCTATCATAATTAGAGGTGGGCAGTATGACGTGATGCATTTTATTGTGATAAGCAATATGGTGTTCTGCTAAATTAGATGTAGTGCAGGCCAGTGTGCAGTATGCGAAACACACACACACACACACACACACACATTCTAAGCCGCTTATCCTTCTGGGTCATGGGGGGATGCTGGAGTCTATCCCAGTGCTCATTGGGCAAAAGGCAGGAAACCGCGGAAACCCATGCAGACACGGTGCAAACGTGCAGACTCGGACCTGGTCACCCGGCCGGGGAATCGAACCCAGACCCTTCTTGCTGTGAAGCAACAGCTGTGAGGCAACAGCACGTGGCACACATTGTGTCCATGTCAAAATATTGCGATGCATATTGTGTAAAATGTCTACCTGTATCGTGATATAATGTTTTTGCAATGTCACCCAAACCTAGTCAGAATAACTGTACATTTGAATTAGACTAGAACTTGCATGTGAATGACGCTTCAAGTTATAACTACAAATTGGAGTAACTAAAGTAATTATTCTTTCATTTTAATAGTCTGTTATGACCTCCTGTATCGATTTCCCTTCCATGTGTTCATCGTTGCTGCACTGCTTGTTTCTTTTTCGTGCGCTGCAGTGCACCGAGGTCTGGGATGGTTAGCGTTCGGGCTGGGGAAAGACACGGGTGCAACACTCTTATCTTAGAATGTGATTATGATGTTTTGTCCAGGGAATTAGTTTGGACATTAATCCGTTTCTTTTGCATTATGTTAACCTGCAATCTGATGTGGTATCAGGCATGTTCGGTGGAAGTGCGTTCCCAGTTGCCAGTAAAATGAGTCACTTCTATTCTTGGTAATGTGGCCAATGGTAAAGTGCGTCTATTGCCAGAATTGTTTATGCATTCACTTTCATTATCCAAGTTTCCCCACTGTGTTTCCAAGTTAGAAGACACATTTGGTTCACCATTTGGGAGATGGAAGCAGGGTTTAGTCTTCCCAAGCCTGTATTTGGAAATACCAGGCGTGGTCCACTTAAGGTGCTAAAAGAAGCTTGGTTGTTGGACTGCAGGAATTCTTAAGCAGATACAAACTTTGTAGATTATGTTAGTGCTTACGTGCCTTCATCACACACGCTATGTGGCAAAAGCTTCGACAAAACAGACTTGTATTGATAAAATCAGCTTGCTATACACTTTTAGGTCCAATCCCATTTCTTATTTTTACCCCTACCCCTTGTTTTTGAGCGTCACCTTGCCCCTTGGAACTGAGTTACAAGGTGTAGAGGTTGAAATCTTCCCCTATGAAATGGGACTCTTGAATAAAAAGAGCATTACTTCATTAACAGCTACTAGTGCTGCTCTGTAGGCGACCCTGCCAGTCTGCAGTGACAGCAGAGGAGGGTAAAGTTCAGCTCCTCACTGCTGGGCTTTAGTTACATTTAGGGCATCATATGCCTTCAAAGACGGGCAGTTATTTATTATCACCCACCCCTAATTCTTCAGTGATATGAAGCTGAAGTCAGATATTTGCCAGCTTCTTGTTCGAAATGTCCTGTCCACCTTAAACGGTGCATCAGTTCTGATGCCTGAGGTGCCAGAATGCAACTGCTGCACCATTTAAGGTGGAACGGGAAATTTAGCTAGCTAGCTACCGAGACATCAAGCACACTACTAGCGATTTTTATGCTTGTTATCAAGAAAAGAACCATAATACACTGAAACGACATTAAAATAAGTTAATACAGTGATTATCATAATTGTTTAACAGAGAAAATTCTCACATTTGTGTGTTTCTTTGGTCGCTCATGCAGCCATCTTGTTGTTGTCTCATAACACTCTGTTTGGATTGTGCCTCTGAAAAACCTCCATTTGGAGGGCCATGTAGCTCTAACACTTCGCCCTACCCCTCTATCTCAACAACAATCGGGACCCCCTACCCCTAGATGCGCAAAACGGAGGGGTAAGCGCTAAGTGGTAGGGGCGAGGGGTGAAATGGGATTGGGCCAAAATTTTTGATAGTGTTTTTAAACAACAAATATCATGATACATACAGTGCATCATAAAAATGTCTTTGAGGAATGTGATATTATATTTCTGCCATACTGTCCACCCCTAATTAGGAACAGATCAGGCCAGCTAACTAGGGAACATCAGCAAACCTGCGAATGCCTACAAATGCAAATGCATTCTGTAAATATTATTCTGTACACACTGCGTTAAACAGGCCTGTCAGACAAAGGCAGCACATGCCTATGTGAGAACCACAGATCCAGCCAATCATGCGCTGCAGCAGAGGCTGAAGCTGTGCAAAATAAATTATGTTGTAGTCAGATAGTCTGATTAGGTTACCTTTGATCAATAACTTCATGTTAAAATATCCTAATTGGGGTTTTAGTGCTAAATCACTTTTGGCACCTTTTAGCAAGACAGAGAGAAAGTCACTGACAAATAAAACTATTGCCCTGCAGCTGTGTCAATAATTACGGCACTTAGAGCTATCTGGAATATCAGATAGCGCTGCTGACCGTCAGTTCAATTTGGGGAAGAACAATAAACAGTAAAAAGTTTCTCGGACTGTGTCAGGGATGTCTCGCTAACTGTTTTCAAGGCATTATTGTTGGAAACAGAGCATCTGCTCTCATTCCATTTGCAGAAGTGTCTACAAAACCCACTAATTGATTTGGAAAAGAATGTGTGGAATAGGCAGAGCAGTAATTACAGGGTTTCCTGATGCATACTGCTGACAGAGCGCTGTTGCATTACATCCAGACACTTGTTAAACGGCTATAAAGAGCCGGTATGTACCTGCCAGGCAGCATTCAGGTGCTTTTAAGGCTTTCAGAGGGAGGCTACGGGAAACACATGACTTTTGTCTGATTTATCACACATGCACATTTCTTGCTTCCACTATGTAACTAACTGGGAAAGGACTGGTGAGGAGTTTTTCTTTCACTACGCATATTAAACAGCCCACTGTCTACATTTGTTTTGTTTTTTATTTTTTTCCATGAAGTCCACATTGTGTAACACTGTGTGAGCCGTAGGCTGAATAAGCAACCACATCTGAATGTCAAAGTGATGACACAACCATGACAAATTCAAAACCAGCTCCTTCGTATGGGCTGTATGGACTGGGGGGTGAACAGTATTTAGGCTGGCCTTTGCGTAAAGGTGAGCTGTTTCTTTAACTACTCCAGTCACCAGTGTTCTCCTGAGTTACTGGGAAGATTCAGCTGGTCGTAACAGCCATGTTTGAAATGGAGGGCATGGCAATAACAGAAGAAACTACGGAAAGGTTTTTGAGATGGAGCGTTTCTGATGCTTCTAGCCTTGTTATAGCAGAACAGAAAGGAAAAAATGAAAAGGGGAAAAAAAAACAACTGTCAATTTTTATCACTATTGTGATAATTTAAGTCGCAATATGCTTTTATGAGTTTATTGTGAACATCACTACATAAAGAACACGAAACATCTGCAGGGTTCATTACAAAGAGAGCATAATTAGTCCTTTTCAACTGGATTTACTGTAGCACAGCATGTAAAATGTTGAATTACCATTCTACTCATAGCTTTCAATAGTATTTTGAAAAAC